AAATCTTTTTTTTTTTAAGATTTTATTTATTTATTTGACAGAGAGAGACACAGCAAGAGAGGGAACACAAGCAGGGGGAGTGGGAGAGGGAGAAGCAGCCTTCCCGCGGAGCAGGGAGCCCGATGCGGGGCTCAATCCCACGACCCTGGGATCATGACCTGAGCGGAAGGCAGATGCTCAACGACTGAACCACCCAGGCGCCCCCAAAATATTGTTCTATTTATCAGTCAAGTTAGTTAACTGAAGTTGGGAATTGTCTATTTAGGTACATCCAGCTTTTCCTGAACTCTGATATTAGAACTACTCTTCTTAAAATGATTCGATGTTTCCCTTGATTCCATTTACTAAATTTGTTCTTAAAGTAATGACAGGGCTGACTGGCTCAATCGGTAGAGCATGCAACTCTTGATCTCAGGGTTGTGGGTTTGGGCCCCCCATTGGGTGTAGAGATTACTTAAAAATAAAATCTTAAAAAAAAAAAGTAATGGTAGAATTCTGGCACTATTACAAGGTTCACCGTTACTAATTATAGCTAGGAGACCCAAAAATACCTAGATCCTGATCTTAAGTAAATATCCCTCCTTGAAGGCGTAGAGATGTGCATAGAGTATACACTATTTGCGGATAATGTAAGGCTGCTAGGCTTGGCCATATGAAGCAATCCTTTCTCAAAATTTAATTAGGCCTAAAAAGTCTGACAGATTTAGGTTTTCACATCTGCTTGATGTCGTCCCTCCAACAACCAAATCCAAAGTTCCGATGGTATCCCAAGAGAAAAAGGTTATTTGAATCTGTACTCATTAGCCTGTAACAGGGGAAATGAAAACAGAGAAATCACAAGGGGCATTTTCCCCATGCTGGGGTCAAGCTGACCTCATGCTGGTCCTTATCTGGTCAGGACATCGGCCGTGACCCACTGTCCTTAGAGCTATACAAGCTTTGGCACTTCCTGTTCCCAGGCAGAGGAGGGTAAACAGGAAATGGAAAATGCCTGGCACTAGAAAGGCATCTTTTAGAATAAAGACAAGGCCTTGGTCCAAGCTATAGCACATGAATTTGTAAAATCTAATCATGTCTCTTCAGAAGTCTCCTCCCTTCTCAGGCCGGTCCCTTAGGTAGTCTCTTAACTACAATTGCATTGGCTTAACTCCAATCCGATCAGCACAGCTGTCAGTCAACAGGTCATAGGTGCTTAATATAAGGCTTGATTGTTAGAATCAGAGTAGGGTTTTATTTGTAATAAAATAATATAAAAGCAAGGGCTGTAAGTCACCTATAACACTGAAAATTTGGACGTAACTCCTGAGCCCAACAACAGAGAAATATCGAAGCAAACTGACCTTTTTGCCCTCAAAGGCAAATGCTCTGAAATAACTCAAGAAATAGAAAGAATGAAGAACTGTAGCATTGGAAACAGAGAACGATATAATAAAGGGACTAAAAATATGAAGGAATGGGGCGCCTGGGTGGCTCAGTTGTTAAGCGTCTGCCTTCGGCTCAGGTCATGATCTCAGGGTCCTGGGATAGAGCCCTGCATCGGGCTCCCTGCCCGGCGGGAAGCCTGCTTCTCCCTCTCCCACTCCCCCTGCTTGTGTTCCCTCTCTCGCTGTGTCTCTCTCTGTCAAACAAATAAATAAAATCTTAAAAAAAAAAAATATGAAGGAATTCCTGAAAGAAGTGAAGCAGATGGAATCAGATCAACAGAAAAGTTGATCATGCTCTCAATCAAAGAGCCTGGTGATTTAACACAATAAGAGGCTCCATGAGAAGTGGGTGGGTTTTCCAACCAAAGGCCCAGAAATTGCCCAAAGGCAGGATGGCAGGGAGTGGGGCCATGGGCAGGCTGTGGGCCAGGCAGTGGAGGGTACAGAGCAATCCCATTAACTTCTCAGAGCTCTACAAGTTCTAGTCAAAGAAATAAGGGTGAAAAGAGGATAAATATAAGACTCCAAATCACCATTATTTCCAGATAGCATTTCCTTTGAAAATCCACGAGAATCAACTAAGAAGCTATTAAAAAACAAAGTACAGGGAACGTGTATGTGGCTCAGTGCTTCTCCCCCTGTGTTCTCTCTCTGACAAATCTTTTTCTTTTTAAAGATTTTATTTGAAAGAGAGAGAGTGCACATGAGCAGGGGGAGGGGCAGAGGTAGAAGGAGAAGCAGGTTTTCCACTGAGCAGGCAGCCAGATACAGGGCTCAATCCCAGGACCCTGGGATCATGACCTGAGTTGAAGGCAGACGCTTAACCGACTGAGCCACCCAGGCATCCCTAATAAATTTATCTTAAAAAAAAAAATCTCAGCAAGTGGAAAAATGTCATATTTCTGAGTAGGAAAACAATACCATAAAGAAAGCAATTCTTCCCAACCTAATCTGTACATCTAAATTAAAATCCCAAAGGGTTTCTTTTGTGAATTTGAAACACAGATACTAAGAACTATCTGAAAATATATAATCAGTAATTTTTTTTAAGAATGAAAATGTCCTATCAGGTATCAAAATTTACTGCAAAGTTATAATGATGAAAACTGGTATCAAAAACAGGATACCATTTTTTACAATGATCGGGTTAGCAAAATAGTTAAAGTTTGATGGCACCCAGTGGTGACAAGGCACATGGTGGCACTTCATATACTCTAAGCACGGGTATAAACTGGTAAAAACTTTTTGGAGGTTGCCATCATCTATGAAAAAAATTTAATTGAGGGGTGCCTGGGTGGCTCAGTCGTTAAGCATTTGCCTTTGGCTCAGGTCATGGTCCCAGGATCCCGGGATTGAGCCCCACATCGGGCTCCCTGCTCAGCGGGAAGCCTGCTTCTTCCTCTCCCACTCCCCCTGCTTGTGTTTCCTCTCTGGCATTGTCTCTGTCAAATAAATAAAATCTTAAAAAAGAAGATTGGGGTAGATCTGCAGATGTTGCTATTGAAAGATACCTAGAATCTATTAGATGAAAAAGCAGGAGGTGGGACACTAGGTACAATGTAATTCCATTTATATACAGATTTGTATTTGTATATATATAAATATATCTAGAGAGAGAGAAAGCTTATGCTGGTATATTCATAGGAATATTTTTAAAGAATATCTAAAAATTGGGACGCCTGGGTGGCTTAGTCGTTAAGCGTCTGCCTTCGGCTCAGGTCATGATCCCAGGGTCCTGGGATCGAGTCCCACATCGGGCTCCTTGCTCAGTGAGGAGCCTGCTTCTCCCTCTCCCTCTACTGCTCCCCCTGCTTGTGCTCTCTCTCTCTGACAAATAAATAAACAAAAATCTTAAAAAAAAAAATACTTTAAAAAATAAAAGAATATCTAAAAATTTATTAACAGTGGTTGCATTTGGAAAGATATTGGAGGTGGAGAGAAGAGGGAGACTGACTTTTCCTTTTTTAGATACCTTTGTGCTGTTCTGAATTTATCATTTGCATAATGCTAGAAAGTGTTCCTTCAATTGTGGTACTGGTACAGGAACAAACAGGCCAGTGAAACAAAATTACATTTCCAGAATTTATATGTATGTATATGAATTTCACAAGGAGTAACAGCAGAATTTCAAATTATTAATGAGGATTTCAATAAATGACATAGGGACAACTATTATTCATTGGAAATAATATAATTAGACTCAGGGTCAATAAGAAAACAGAAGCCACTCTAGATATTTCAAGCAGAAAGGAATTTAATAAACAGAGTTATGTTTCAAATCTGTCAGGAGGGCTGGAAAATAAAAACAGGAGAGTTGGTATCACCCAGAGGTCAGGAGGTGCGGGAAGTTGCCACCACTGCCGGAGGCCACGGCAAAAAGAAAGACTTCTTTCCACCTTCCAGTCTCATGCAAGTGCCTCTCACTGGCAAAACCTAAACTAGAAACCCACCGCAAAGGAGTCTGGGAAATGTTTAAAACCTTTCAGCCCCTGTGACACAGGAGAGTGTGGATAAGCAAAGGAGGTGGTTATTTCAGTAAGTGATGTGGTAAAAGTTATGCTTCTGGGAGAAAACAAACAAACAAACAAAACCGAAACTCAGTCCCTAATTCATACCTTATACACATATAAATTTCAGAAAAAAAATAAAATTAAAAAAAATAATGATAGCATCTGAATTAAAGACAAGGATTACTTTCTACATTATATACTGAGACACCATTTAATTTTTATGCAATAACTTTTATGATCCATGAAAACAAAGATTGCTCCATTATAGGGTTAGGAGTAGGGAGATGGGTCAAGTTTTTAACATGGGGCATAAAGATAAAGTAAGATACCAAGAACAAAGCCAGCCTGTAACGAGGCCCTAATCTCTGTGCCCCCAACTCCCAGGCCAGGTTCCATCTCCGCCTGTGCAACAGTGCTCTCTCCCAGTGACAGTATTTACCGAGGAACAAAAGTCTCCCTGAGCAAGTCACTAAGCAGGAAGCTGGGTAAGGATTAACACAGTGCATTAAACACAACAGAAATGAAACTACAGATCAAAGTCTTCGTTTTCTCTTTGCCTCCCTAGTTCCTGTTTTGGTGACTTTTGTTTTTCTCCTTTTTACATTTGTTATAGGCGGTGCTTTTTTATGGCCTGATTTGAAATAATAGGCAACATCTTAGGATCTTGAAAATGCCAGACTAGGAAATGTTTCTGAACACTGTCCCCCAAGAGGTACTTTGTAGAAGACTACATTGGGAGACATTAATAGAAATGCCAAGAAAAAGCATTTTTAGGCAAATAAGGTTGGAAATTGCCGTACCTCCTCTTGGGGAAAAAAAAATCACAAAGTATATTATGTTTCTGTATTAAAGGCACTTCTATAAAGAAAACAGTTTAATTTTATTTAATATCAGATGTTTACCAAGTTTATTTTCTGCACAACACACACTTTTAGTACAATGTATGGTTAAAAAACAATATTCCACAATTAATTTGTTAGATTCTACTCTAGATCATCTTAAAAAAAAAAAAGGAACGACACCAAGACTGGTTGATGTTCTCTCCCAACAGATGAGGAAGCTGGTCCTAATCTTCTACGAGCAGATTCTCGGATTTCACCTGGGTCTTCCTTGTACTGTCCAAGTTCAGGTGTTGGTATTTTCTTTTAAAAAAGCCACACTAAAACAAAGGAGGGGGAAGTCCCATTATAGGCCTAAGATACCCACCTGTTTTAGAAAACCATTATCTAGTTGCCAAAATAGCTCCTATACTCCTCTGCTTTTCATGCCTCCTCTGAATCTCTCCCTGATAACCTGATCCTTCAAGATCTTTTTCTTTTAATCAGCAATGATTATATTTAAAAAAAATTTTATTTAAATTCAATTAGCCAACATATAGTACATCATTAGTTTTTGATGTAGTGTTCAATGATTCATTAGTTGCCTATAACATCCAGTGCTCATCACAACACATGCCCTCGTCAATACCCATCACCCAGTTACCCCTTGCCCCCACCCCCTCCCTTCCATAACCCTGTTTGTTTCCCGGAGTCAAGAGTCTCTTGTGATTTATCTCCCTCTCTGATTTCTTCCCAGTTTTCCTTCCCTTCCCCTATGGTCCTCTGCGCTATTCCTTATGTTCTACGTATGAGTGAAAAACCATATAATTGTGTTTTTCTGCTTGATTTATTTCACTTAGCATAACATCCTTTAGTTCCATCCATGTCGATGCAAATGGTCAGTATTCATCCTTTCTGGTGGCTGAGTAATATCCCATTGTATATATGGACCACAACTTCTTTATCCATTCGTCTGTTGAAGGGCATCTCGGCTCCTTCCACAGTTTGGCTATTGTGGGCATCGCTGCTATGAACATTGGTGTGCACATGCCCCTTCTTTTCACTACATCTGTACAAGATCCATCTTAAATGCTGCCTCTCCACAAGCCTCTCCTGGTGCTCGTTCTCCGGGCAGAAGTGAAAAATCACCTTCCCCTTAAGCCCCAAAGTTCCTTAACCTTTTTAACTTAACTAAATCTGCAAAGTATTATAGTTTCAGCTGTAATGGATCTTATTTATGTAAAAATACTCAGCCTACTATGGATAGTATGGCCTCCTACATCAAGAAACTCACAATCTGGGAGCACCTGGCTAGCTCAGTGACTCTTGATCTCAGGGCTGTAAGTTTGAGCCCCACGCTGGGTGTAGAGATTGCTTAAAAATTAAAAAAAAAATTTAAAAAAAGAAACTCACAATCTAGTAGAAACAAAAATAATTACCATACATTGTGATGACTGCCACTTGGGTTTCCAGAAAGCAGCTTATTCACAGGAAAAACATATAACTCAGCCCAGAGGACTGAGGAATCTCTGGGCTGAGATTTAAGGGAATAGTGTGAACAAGGTGAAAAAGTGGGAAAAGGCGTTGGTGTGGGGGGATGGCAGCATAGATAGCAAGCACAGAGACACTAAACTTACTGAGTTACACGTGTTCAGAGAAAAAAGCAAGACCTAAGGGTAGAGAGGCGTGGAGGCCACAGAGTGAGGGTCTTGAAAGCAGTAAAAAAGTTTGAACATTAAAAGAGGGGAAGGAGAGTAAAGTATTTAAATAGGGTAATGATCATCATATCTATTTTAGGAAAATCTCTCTGTACTCTGATATTTTCACATGAGTAGAACGCACCTGAAATAGGATGATTATAATCACAGTCAAAACCAGAAGGCCACTAACACTGCTTCCAATAATAATGATGACAGACAAATAATACTCCTCTTTCAGGAAGATGACAGTGATCTGGAACGAGACAAGGAGATCATCCAATAAGTCTGCTAATGCAGATGAGAAAAAAATTCTTCGTGTTATTTTAAGGAGCAAAATATGAGAACTTGGCAACATTCTATATATTGACCAAGGCTGACAGTAAAGCAAAAAGCTAAATGTTTCTTGACGCATCGTCTAAAATTATCTAACATCGAGACTTCCAGTTTCTGGTCCCATACGTAGAGTACATGGCAGGCACCACTCCGTACTAACAAGTACAAAGCTGAACAGACCCAAAAGTCAACAATTCTTGACTTCCTAAGAGAGGGAAAGACACCTGGCAAACTGCTGCCCCCAAGACTGGTGAGAGAGATAGACAAATATAGGGAGTAGTGGCTTCCCAGTGCTGGGGTAAGAAAATCTGATCTGTAATTGATGAATTATGAGAAGCTCAGTATTCACAACTCTCAGAGTTAAAAACTCAAGGGAACCCAGTCATAATGGAGCCCCCACAACACTATAAGGTTTTCCTCCAGGAGCTTTACCAGGTTCCTACAGTAAATACTAGAGAAAAATCCCTTTGTGCCTCTGGCACGGGGAAAGAAAAAGGAACCATTTTGAAATAGGCCACAGTACTCTTTTTGGCCTACCCTCAGGGGAAACTAGTTAATTGGGGCCTAACCAGCTAAGGTATTACCAGAGTCCAACTGACCTGGGGTAAGGGAAATACCCAACTCAAGCCCACTCTAGGTATCCTGTCCCACGCTAAGGGGGTTGAAAAAAAATGAGAAATGTGAAAATGTAAAGTTCACAGCCCCGAAGCATAGGCTCACTAAAAGACTGAAACCTAGTCATAGGATGGTAGAGCACTTCCCCTCCCGACACCTCACCACATTAATAAAGACCTATTTACAGCAGTTCCTTTTACCTGGTACATCACGTCCAGCTATCAAGAAAAAATTATCAGGAAAAAAAAGAAAATAAAAAAATTATAAAACATATCAAAAGGCCAAAAACACAATTTGAAGACACAAAGCAAGCATCAGAACCAGACAGAGAAAGGATGTTGAATGATCAGACCCGATAATTAAAACAACTATGATTAATATGGTAAGGGCTCTAATGGATAAGTAGACAGCATGCAAGAACAAAGACAAAGAACAGATAGGTAACGTAAGCAGAGAGATGGAAACCCCAGGAAAGAAACCAAAAAAATATGTTAGAGATAAAAAAAAACCAAAAACAGTGTAACAGAAATGAAGAATACCTTTGATGAGCTCATTAGTAGACTGGCCATGGTGAAAGAATCTCTGAGCTAGATATACCAAAGGAATCCATGAAAAGCAAAGAGAACAAAAATTGGATGGAAAAAACACACCAATAACAGCACAACAAAATTATCTAAGGAACAAAATACTTTCAGTTATTTTGGTCTGTCAGGAGATCTGTTAAAGATTGACAGTTTAACAGAAGTCTCAGAGAATTATGGTCTCTAGGTTTTAGAGAACACTGAAAGACAGAAAACCAGTTCTACATCCAGCTATGCCACTCTGTGTCCTTGAGCCCCAAGCTCCTCTTCAAACTGATGACCTATTTTAAATGATCTCTAAGTCCTTTTCAACTCTCTTCTGACAGCTCTTTTCGACCTTGCACAAATCCCACACAAAATATATGACAAAGATACTTGTCTGCTCTTCACCAAACTGAAGTGTATGTTACCTCAGAGACACAATAATAAATGCAAAATGGCATCCATGTATCCTTCAACCACACGGGTTTGAACTGCATAGGTCCACTTATATGCATATTTTTTTGGATAAATACAGTACTGTAAATGTATCTTTTATGATTTTCTTTTTCTTTAAAGATTTTACTTATTTATTCATGAGAGATAGAGAGAGAGAGAGAGAGAGGCAGAGGGAGAAGCAGGATCCCCTCTGAGCAGGGAGCCCGATGCGGGACCCGATCCCAGGACCCTGGGATTATGACCTGAGCTGAAGGCACACGCTTAACCATCTGAGCCACCCAGGCGCCCTCTTTTATGATTTTCTTAACATTTTCTTTTCTCTAGCTTACTTTATTATAAGAATACAGTATTTAAGGGCCATCTGGGTGGCTTAGTCGGTTAAGTGTCTGCCTTCGGCTCAGGTCATGATCCCAGGGTCCTGGGATCAAGCCCCGCATCGGGCTCCCCGCTCAGCAGGAGGCCTGCTTCTCTCTCTGCCTGCCGCTCCCCCTGCTTGTGCTCCTTCTCTCTATCTGACAAATAAATAAAATCTTTAAAAAAAAAAGAATACAGTATTTAATACAATAAGGCTTCTGGTCCATAGTATGCTATTTGTAAAGTTTTTGGGGAGTCAAAAGTTATACATGGGTTTTGACCACGTGGGGAGTCACGCTGCTCAAGAGTCAGCTGCCGTCCCCAGCATTGTTGTCTAAAGGCTGTCTCAGTATTAGGAGTCTAAGCCCTCTTCTCACTAATAGGACTCAGGTGGAAAGTGATGGCCCTCCCGTGGCCAGAGTTTCCCAGGACTTAAGTGGGACCAGAGGGCCACCAAAACTTCTCTGCCTGCCCAAACACTGAGTTCCTTTCATGCACGTGTTTAAGCACCAAGGTTGGGGGGCTTTGGAGATAATTTCTGTATGGGTTGGAAAGCTGGACAAATTTAACTTTAATATTTTTTTATTTCTGAGAGAACGCACGTGTGCGCCACACGCATGCACTTGTGCAAGCAGGGAAAGGCAGAGGAAGAGGGAGAGAATCTTTAGTGGACTGTGTGCTGAGCACAGAAACTGATGCGGGGCTCCATTCCTCGACCCTGAGATCATGACCTGAGCTGAAACCAAGAGCTGAATGCTCAACTGACTGAGCCACCCAGGCGCCCCTGAACAAATTTCCCTTTAAGGCCTCTTCTAATTAAGTTATAAATGCCGGTTACTTCCTATGGTTGATCCTTCAGGCAACTATTTAATTCATATGTGGCTGAGGTTAATAGGAGTAAGTTCTGGGCCTTGAAAGTAGGGAGGGAGAGGAAAAACAAGAAGAGAGCTGGTTTTTCTTCCATGGAAGAATGAAGTGGGGGGCAGGGGGAAGGTCTTGAGAATCTGGGTTTAGGAAAGTAATGAAGCCCCAAGGTCATAGTGATGTAACAGGGCAGATTTCAGTAGAAGAAATTCTCCTCTTTCTCAAAGCCTCTTCCCCTTTTCCTCTTCTAAACTCACAGGTTCCAAATTTGACCTAAAGCTACCCTGGTAAAGGTGAAGAAAGAAGCAGGACACAGGATACTAGTGCTTGTAGTCAAACACTGATGGTGGCCTACCCAATAACCATTCTCTCCTTTTAATTTTCATTCAGAAATCATGACTGGTCTAAGCTAATCATGACAGAGCTATTCCCCTTTGCCAGTGACCAAGAGGAGATCCAGTTCTCACTGAAAAGATGTAAGGAGATAGCTGCTGGGAGTTTTTAGGAAAATTTCCCTCCCTAAAAAGGGAAGACACACTTAGAAAAACTCCTTTTGCTACTGATCTCTTGCTTCCTGTTTTGTGTCCTGCCACATGAAAACACAGCACTGGGAGAGGTGATATCTTTGTGCTGGCACAGACTGTAGGGCACAAGATCCAAAGGAGCCAGGCTGTTGACCAAACAGATGCCTTTATGGTACATTAGTGGGAGTTTTCCCCTACTTACAGATGAAATGCACTTGGATACATGGCTATTTATACTCATAGGTTCATTCTACCTTAGTTGCTTATTGTCAGGAACAACTTAATACTCTGCTTAGGGTATTGAATTTAAAGAAAGGAAAATAATTATGGGGAATCTATGTACAGAAATGAAAGCATCAGTAAGAGAGGGAAATAAATTATATATATGTGCATATATGAAACTGTTAACTGTAGCACTCTTTGGGAAGAGGGAGTTGGGGACATGGGAAGAGGGGGAATGAGGAACCATTATTTTTCATTTGATATTTTTCTGTAAGGCTTGGATTTTCTTGCTCTTCTATTTAAAAAAAAAAAAAAATCTGGGCCGTGGGATAATGGAGCACTTCTCTTTCTTCCATGTAACTTTTTGTATTAGAAATACTTAAAAATAAAAGGCAATGTTATTTCTGACATGTCTGGAGAACTGTTCCTTTCTCCTCCTCCAGAAAGGAAATCACAGGACCTAGTATTTAGCAATCCAGCCTCACTCTCTTAACATTCCCTCCAGTAATGATCATGCCTGACTAAAGAGCCCACAGATGGATTATCTCTCAAGCCAGCTGCTGCAGCTGACCCTTAACCATATCTAGGTTAAGTGTCAAGATCATTTAGCCCATAGATTTCAGTTTGACTTGTGGTCACACTTTGGCAAAAGGAATCCCAAGAGTCCTACTATTTAGTTTAAAATTTATAAAAGAATCACACATTCTTGAGTAACTAGTTAATACTATAAACACTGATACTACACACTAGGAAGACAGTCAATGTATACAAAAAAGTAATTTCTCACTTGGCAAATTTTAAAACTACGTTTTCAAATCAAAGTATACACAGCTGTTGATTTCACCCTAGTTATTTCAGCTTAGGCCTCTTATTCAGTTGCCATTTCAAAGATGGAAAAACTGAGGCAGAATCTGACTAATTCAAGGTCACAGAGGCAGCTTGTAGTAGAGTCAAGATCAGAGGTGGCAAGACTGAAAACAGGAAGAGTTGCCTGTACAGAGGCTCTAAGGCTAGGCACAGTTTTCCCCAGAACACCGCTCAGAAAACCAGAAAACAGCCAGGGATTACCTTAGTTCTGTGGTTGTCTGCATTCAGCCTCTCGTATAGAGATTTGTTGAAAGATATTTCACCAACGATCTGCAGTTCAGTTACACCTCTTGGTAACTGTAAGATGGAGGGTAGATAAAACATATTTTAGACATAGACTTACTGTTTTTGGACAGCATCTTTTCCTTTAAACGTGTTCCTTCTCCTGTATTCCTTTGTCTAGTTAGTGGTCTTGGCAACCACAAAGTTGCCAAAGCAAGAAACCTGCAATCATTCCCCAATTTCTTTTCCTTTACACTTTACCTCCTGTCACAGCCCCACTCACCAGCCCCAAATCAGTTCTTGACAATTCTTTTTTTTTCTTTCTCACATCTGTCCCTTTTCTCCATCCCTCATTGCTACTCCTTCAGTTCAGATCTCATCATTCTCATCTGGATCACTGTGAGGAGTTAAACTTGATCCCAGTGCCCACTTTAGAATGAGTGATCCGGGAATGCCTCTCCAAGAAGGTAACATCTGAGCTAAATATAAGAAACCATGCACATGAAGATACGGGGGAAGAACAGTGTCATGCAGGGACACCTGGATGGCTCAGTAGGTTAAGCGTCTGCCTTCGGCTAGGGTCATGATCCCAGGGTCCTGGGATTGAGCTCCACATCCGGCTCCCTGCTCAGTGGAGAGCCAGCTTCTCCCTCTCCCTCTGCCCCTCCCCCCCATTCATGCTCTCTCTCTCTCTCACTATCTCAAATAAATAATAAAATGAAAAAAAAAAGTGTCATGCAGCAGGGACAGCAAGTGTAAAGATCCCGTGGCCAGAATAATATTGGAGAAACCAAAAGGACAGAATAGCTGGAGTATAAGAAGTGGGAAAGAGGAGAGTACTAGGAGATAAAGTTGAAGAAGAAGAGACTAGACCATGCAGTGCCTTGCAGGCCATTGAAAAAGTATGTGTTTTACTCTAGATGTATTCAAATGTCACTTTTTTCTTTTCAGAGCCATGGCACAATGTTTACTTTATTTATTTATTTATTTATTTATTTAAAGATTTTATTTATTTGACATAGAGAGAGACAGCGAGAGAGGGAACATAAGTAGGGGGAGTGGGAGAGGGAGAAGCAGGCTTCCCGCTGAGCATGGAGCCTGATGCGGGTCTCAATCCCAGGACCCCGGGATCATGAACGGAGCCGAAGGCACGCTTAACAACTGAGCCACTCAGATGCCCCAGCACAATGTTTACTTTAAAATAGATGTTATGTGAAGAAAGATTTGTAGAGGGCAGGGCAAGAGCAGAGACAGGAGGAAAAGACAGTGTTTACTGCAACAGCCTGGGCAAAAGATGGTAGCCTGAACTACAACAGTAGCAGTGGAGATGGACAGAAGTGAATGGATTCAGAACCTATTTTGGAGGTGGAAGGACAGAGCTTGGCGCTGGAACAGGTATGGGGATGTAGGAAAGGAAGAAGTATTTCCCAAGGTAAGTAACTACAGTAAGTTACCCTCGTCAATTATCCCAAGTAATTGTGTAAAGAACAGACTGGGGCAAAAGGTGAATCAGGACACCTGTCTTGGACATGTTACATTTGAGATGCTGTTAACTTTTCTCAGAGACAGAGCAGAGGCACGTGAGCACAATCAAATGTGGACCATTCACCATGTCAAGTATCTGCTGAGATTGATTCAAGGACAGCTCCGCGGCCACCGTTACATTTTCTGTATTCGAAGTGATGGTACAGTTCACTGAATACCATTCTTCCACATACTGAAAAGGAAACTCTGGTTATAGTTAGCGCAGCCCCTTTTGAGTGAAAAAGCAGAAAACGTTAACACTGGGCACGCAGAGCATGTTCAGGTCCCAGGAGAGAGGGTGTGAACAGTTTCGGCGCTCCCCTTGGCTCAAGCAAAGCCGCAACCGTGGCCAACCGTGACTAACGGGGTCCAGCGAGGACACTGAGGACAGCCTCGAGGCCACCCCGCAGAAGCTTTCGGCAGGAAACGTCCGCAAAAGTAACCCCGGGCCGCTCCCGCCGCCCGCTTCGAGGCCTCCTCCCTCCCTCCACCTCTCGCTACGGCCGCGCTCACCCAAGCAGGATCGCTCCCACAGCGGTCTGACTTCGGACTAGACTTGCACTCGGTCTGGGCCTGAAACGAGAGCCATGGAAGTGCGAAGAGGAAGACGCCAAACCGCCCGTCACCCGCCCGCCGCCGCCGCCACCTCGCGCGGGGCCCATTGTGATGCGGGTGCTCACGGCCGGACGCTAGGACCCAGCAGTCCGGCCGGCCCGCGCGTCTGTCTTAAGGAAGTCTCGCGGTGTTTGCATTTGAACCTCCGGGCGGGTGCCGACTATGGCGGCGTCACTCCAGCGACCGGGGAATCGGCTCTTCCGAACGTACGGGGCTGTGGGCGGCAGGAGGCCGCGGCGGCGGCCGGACCGGGCAGCCGCGCAGTGGTTCCCGCCGCAAGAGCGGAAGCGTTTTTTCAGCAGCAGCAGTAGCAGCGACGCCAGCAGCGGCGGCCCCTCGCAGTCTAACGCTTCCGACGACCCCGACGACCCTGACTTCCTCGGCATTCCGGTAGGTCAGCGGCGGAGGCGCCCTGGCGGTCGAGCCTCCAAGGACCGGCTGAGTCTGGTCGCGACGCCACGACGCCCCAGGCTGCGAGCTCGGCCTCCGCAGAAGTGCAGCACCCCCTGCGGCCCGCTCGGACCGCCGGCCTTCCCTAACGGCAACCCAGGCCGCCTCAGCCCGGACCTCAGCGCGTGCAGCCAGCCCGGGGACGGCGGCGAGCTGGGCACCAGTGCCTCCCTGTTCAGCAGTCTGGCCTCTCCCGGCCCCTCCGCCTCTCCGGATGCGGCCTCCGAAGTTCCGGGCGGCTTCCACCTTCCAGTGGCCTCCCCGGGCCCAGCACCCCTCCACGGCTTCCAGGAGGCAGCAACAGGAGGAGGCAGGTTCACCAGGTTGGCCCATCGAGCCCATGCCAGTCTCAGGTCCGCTGTCTTTAGTTTTATGGACTGTGGAAACCCTGAAGATTATGAGTTTGGGGCCGATGGGAGGAATATGAGGGAGTCTTGCTGTGAAAGGAAACGGGCTGGGAAGAGGCTGGAGAGGCCAGGTTTATCAAGCATGGGTAAGAAGAGGGCCACAGACCAGGACTCCTGTCAAGAGATCGGGTCTCCAGGGGCTGCCCAGATGGACTACGAGGCAGATGGCTGCAAGGGCTGTATTGTACCTGGGGAAATCAACGGGCTGGAGAGAACTAGGCCTAGGCGAAAAAGGAAACTTCAGGAAACAGTAGAAACCTCCCTTCTCCATTACCACCAGTTTAAGAAGAGCCAAAAGATGGGAAAAGATTCATTCCTAGCCCAGGACCTGGCTCATTTACAGAATGCCTGCTCTTGGACCAAAGCCAGGGCTTCCTTCAGTTTCCACAAGAAGAAGATGGTGACTGCTGTGTCAGAAGTATGTAGCAGCCACACCATTGCCAGTTCTCTCTCTGAGTCCCTCATATCCGAATATTCAAACCCTCCCGTTATGAACAGAACAAACAGTGCTCTATCTCCTTGGCACTGCTCTTCCATGTATTTGCTAACCCCCTTAAAGACACTACATGTCACAGACAAAAAGGCATCTGACGCTGAAAAGGTTTATGGGGAATGCAATCAGGAAGGTCCTATCCCCTTTAGCTATTGCCTTTCCACAGAAAAACTGGAGTGCTGTCAGAAGATTGGGGAAGGGGTGTTTGGAGAAGTGTTTCAAACAGTTACTAATCACACACCTGTTGCCCTAAAAATCATTGCTATTGAAGGACCAGATTTAGTCAATGGAGCCCATCAGAAAACTTTTGAGGAAATTCTGCCTGAGATCATCATCTCCAAAGAGTTGAGCCTCTTGTCTGATGAGGTATGCAACCGTACGGAAGGCTTTATTGGTTTGAACTCCGTGCACTGTGTTCAAGGATCTTACCCTCCCTTGCTCCTCAGAGCCTGGGACCATTATAACTCAACTAAGGGTTCTGCAAATGACCGGCCTGACTTTTTTGAGGAAGACCAGCTCTTCATTGTACTGGAATTTGAGTTTGGAGGAATTGACTTAGAGCAAATGAGAACGAAGTTGTCCTCCATGGCTACTGCAAAGAGCATCCTGCACCAAATCACAGCATCCCTCGCAGTGGCAGAGGCATCACTGCACTTTGAGCACCGAGACTTACACTGGGGGAACGTGCTCTTAAAGAAAACCAGCCTCAAAGAGCTCCACTACACCCTCAATGGGAAGACAAGCACTATCCCCACCCGGGGAGTGGAAGTCAATATCATTGACTACACACTGTCACGGTTGGAGCGGGATGGGATTGTGGTGTTCTGTGACATTTCCATGGATGAGGACCTATTTACAGGTGAAGGTGACTACCAGTTTGAGATCTACAGGCTAATGAGGAAGGAGAACAACAACCGCTGGGGTGAATATCACCCTTATAATAATGTGCTCTGGCTCCATTACCTCACAGATAAGATTCTGAAACAGATGACCTTCAAGATTCAATGTAACACCCCAGCCATGAAACAAATGAAGAGAAAGATCCAGCATTTCTATAGGACAATGCTGAACTTCAGCTCTGCCACTGACTTGCTTTGCCAACACAGTCTATTTAAGTAAGCCAGAGGTGCCTTATTGGCCCAAACTGAGAGGACACTGGTCTTCCAGCCCCTGATGCTATTTTCAGTCTCCATCCCCAGAGCAGGGTGGAATTCCCATTCTATATGTTTCTAGAAATTAACAGACGTTCTTTAAAAATAAACTGTACATCAGAACAGATGATTACAATTTATATGCCCTCTTTCTCTCAGCAGAGTCCATTCTTCAAATGCCTTTCCGTATATTCCTTTTTGAACCTTGACATTTCATGAACCCTGAGCCAAAAAAAAAAAATTGCAGGAAAGCCAAAGGCCTCAACTTTCATACTCGTCAGAGCCTGTGGCTGTAGGTATCATAAGGGAACCATACTACAGATGAATCAACTGAGAGCAAAGGGGCTGTAGCAAAGCAGAGACAGAGACAGACTGGAGGGAGGAAAGGGAGATGGTACATTTATAGGGAGAAGTGCAAGGAATAGCTCATGTTTATCAAGCTTATTTGCCAGTCACAAAGAAGCAGAATTTATCAGTTTTTCAAAGGGAAAATAAATGTCTCCATGGGTATTAAAAAGGTTTGATTTTTTTTTTTTTTGCTAATTTTTCATCAAGGGAAGGAAAACTGGAATGTTGCTTTAAGAGCTGAATGGTTGATATTTCTTGTGAACGTGACTGGCAATTTACTCCTGATGTGTTCCAAGTTAACTAAACTTGTTTTTACTCCTTTCCTAGAATTCTAGTTTTACACCTTTGAGAATCCACAGTCACTCTGGAAAGAGATGTGATCGTGATTAAAAAACAAACAAACAAAAACAAAACACTCTAAGTACCTGAATCTTTGTCAGGTTTTTCACTCTTATAAATTGGAGAGCTTGTAATTTGATTGGAACACAAATTTGCAGCTGGAATACAGCTCCAAATAGATTTTCCCCATGTATCTACAAAATAAAATCAGAGAGTAGGAAATCAAAACTGGTGTTGTTTTGCCACCTGTAACTTTGCAATAATAAGCATTAAGCACTTACACTGAAGAGGAATTCTTTGTAGACAGAAAGCCCCTGGCTTGTGTTCATGTACATCACTGAAGGTCTGCAAATGAGAGGATATTTGTTAGGCCTCAAGGCCCCCTTCTTTCAAATGAGCCAGAATGCTACCAATTGGATACACTAGGACAGAGGGCACCATATCCTTAAGAATCAAAGCGGAATATCAAAATGTAAAGTGGTGGTAGGGCAGTTCGGATCAGGTAGAATATTTGAATTCTGTGTATTTGGGCTCGTTCTGTGTCTAATTGTTATTCCTCAGTGGCCTTACTTTTCTCCTTCCTTACTCCCCAATCCCGTAGCTCCTCTCTTCCCTCCTTAGCATTGTCAGTAACCTTTAGTATTAAGACCAGTTGGCACTGCGCCTCCTTTGATTACTACCATGGGGTTTCTAGGACCCAACTGTTCTTGCCCTAGCGATCAGTGGGAGTCTGGGTTTTAAGCAGCCTCCTGTCAGAGATGAGGAATGCCCACATCCACCCTGACCACCTGAAGCTGCAGGTGTTGGCCCCTTGGAAGTACTTACTTAGGGAGAACTGCAATGAAGGCATGCTTGAATTGAAGGCTGTGGCTCTGTGTGACCGAAGACTTTTTGTCATTGAAACTAGGAAATAAGAGTGTCAGTTCACAGCACACCCACTGTGTATACAGCTGCTTATATACCTTGGCTTCTCAGGGTCAGGGAGGGTCAGATAAGAAAAGACACTTGAAGATAAGTAATTAGAGTGCAGAGGACTTGCTAGAAGACCATACTTGGAGAAACACTGATTTAAAAAGGGTTTTTCAACCTTGACAATAATATTTTTTGTGAGAGGCCATCTTATATACGCTATGGTGTTTAGCATCCCTGGTCTCTACCCACGAGGTACCAGAAGCATTCCCTCACCCCACAGGCTGTGGCAACCAAAAATGTTTTTAGGCATTGCCCCCAAAGGGCAGAATCATCCCCATTTGAGAACCTTTCCCCAAAACTATACCCATACCCTATCCCTGAAATGTAGAAGTTTCGCAGGTGACCGAGCTTCTCCAAGTTAAATGAACCAGGAATAGAACTTATGTCCAAGGCTCATTTACCAGACTATAGCATAGTTTTGCTTTGTGTGTCAATAAAAGGACATTTTGAGTAACTCTGATAACAAGAAGGGAAGCCAAGTCACTGCAGCCGCATAGATTCCTTCTGCGGTTTCACTGAGGCTCTCCCCGGGCAGTGACCGAGCCGAAGCTCACACATGCACATGGGAGGGAGGCTTCTTCCGGGGCCACAGACTGGGCCCGCAGGGCCACAGGCACTACTTACTTGGTGACTGTCACAGTGATGTTGGCTGTCCTGTTTGGAAAGGCATTCTCCTCTAGCTGCCAAACTACTGAAAAGTTTGCCTATTAAAAAAAGAAAAAAGGTCACTTGATTCTTCTCTAGCACTCACAAACTGCTTCCTACTAACTAACAGACTGGGAAACCACTCTTATGCCTCACATTTTAGCCCAGCATGCTTGTACATCCATTACTCCACGTACACCTTGCAATGTCCATCAGGAGTAAGCAGGGTGCACAGCATTATTCCCCTTTTACAGTTGAACCACTTCAGAGCTTCCCCACAACACAAAGACCATCAGTGGCAGATGAGGGACTCACAACTAATAACTTTGGGCCTGCTGCTCTTCCCATACTACTCCCAGCTTCACTCTGCTGTATGGGGTGAGGCAACAGTTTGTGGCTATATCCCCCACCCCACCACTCCCTACTTCTAGAGCAAACTTGGCAGCTCTAAGCTCTGCTGTGGATTGACTGCAGTAAAGGGAAATGTGGAGACCACGACTAAGATTCAAATGAGACTGGGATGTAGGAGACACCACCTCCACGTAACTGAGAAGAGTCCGCCAACCCAAACACTCACAGATGACCTCTTGAGTATAGGGTAACCAATCTTGCAGTTCATGACCAGCACAGAAGCATTTGGCTTAGGGTCATCACACTGAATGTCTGGAGAAGGAGGCTGTTAACACACAGAAGACACTGTTCTTAAAGAGCAAGGAAGGAAGCAGTTTCCTGATACCAATTCAACAAACATTCACTGATTTTCTACATGCCGGACATCTGCCAGGAGCCTTGGGACACAAATCAGACTTAGTTTCTGTCTTCCTCCCAAGCTGGGCAGAAGGGATCAATGGTAGGTAGTTGAGGAATTTAAATACAAGCCCTAAGCAGTGGTTCTGTAAAAGGTACAAGGAAAAACAGTATCAAAAGAAGTGAAATCCAACTAGGAGGAATCTGTGAAGTCTTCAGGGGAAGGAGACATTTGAACTGGGCAAACTTGTCATACTGACTCCTTACAGTGAGGAAGACTGCACTGTGGTGTCTAACCAAACAAAAGCAAAGACAGTTATTAAAGGATGCTGGGGAAGGGTGGAGTTCAGGTGATACAGAAGGAAAGAGTTGTTTTTTTTTTTGTTTTTTTTTTTTAAGATTTTATTTATTTATTTGACAGAGAGAGACACAGCGGGAGAGGGAACACAAGCGGGGGAGTGGGAGAGGGAGAAGCAGGCTCCCCGCAGAGCGGGGAGCCCGATGCAGGGCTCAATCCCAGGACCCTGAGATCATGACCTGAGCCGAAGGCAGACACCCAACGACTGAGCCACCCGGGCGACCCTAGGAAAGCAGAGTTCTGATGGGCTCTATGTAAAGCAGGGTTGTGTGTAAAAGGGTCCATCAACATCAGGTCTGGACCCAGGGACCCATTCCCTCGGAAACTCTTAGGGAGTTGTAAAGTTGTATCCAGAAATGCTTTATCTGAAGCTCTGCCCCCCGCCCCCCAGATGGAAATGAGACTGCTTCTCTTCAAAGGGACTTCTATTCTCTAGTCAAGTGAAATGGTTTCATAATTACAGATAGAACTTCAAGCAGCCAAGTTTTCTGATTGCCTACGATTTTAGAGAACATTTCTCAGGGTTACGATATTTCACAGCCGTGGGATGTCCTTGGGAGAAACACTGTTTCCTGTTATCTTGCAGCTAGCTTCCAGTCTGTGACCCCAGGCTCACGAGGGGCAGGGCCGACTCTTACTTTCCCAGTGCAGGCTCATGTGTGAGTCTTTCCCTCCCAGAACCCTGGTCAAGAAAGGGTGACTGCAGGGTGCCTGGGTGGCTCAGTTGGTTAAGCGACTGCCTTCAGCTCAGGTCATGATCCTGGAGTCCCTGGATCGAGTCCTGCATCAGGCTCCCTGCTCAGCAAGGAGTCTGCTTCTCCCTCTGACCCTCCCCCCTCTCATGTGCTCTCTCTCTCTGTCAAATAAATAAATAAAATCTTTAAAAAAAAAGAAAGGGTGACTGCAGAACAGCTGCACTGCAGGTGCTGTAGGCAGAGAACAGCGTGCCTGGACTCACAGCACAGCATGTGGTTGGACTGGAGGGGATTCATCTCATTAACAATCATTTATTGGATGGACCAGGATGAGCCTGGAGGCAGGGAGACCAGTTAGGAGGTTGCCATAAAAAAGCAGGTATGCAAGGAGGCAAGGCTTTGAGTAACATATTTCATCGTTACCTTTTGTATCCTCTTAAACTGGAGGTTTCTGGGGTAATTCAAACTCATGGTCGTCATGTAGGAATCTTCCCCAGAGTTAGTTAGGTTAATGTTCATGGTCAGCTCCTTTGTGAGACCTACCACCAATTCCTGCCTGCACAGTGTAGGCAAATTAGGTACATGTTACCAGTTTATTTAATTTGTAAAAACCTCAGTGCAGTACAATAGAACATCCTTAACTAGCTCCTTAAATTGCCTGACGGATACATTTAGCCTAGATTTTCTTCCCCTCAACATAAGCAAGCGCCTGGACCAGCACACCCACCTCAGTTGCTGTGTGAGAGGGTGTTAATGGCTACCATGGTGCTCACCATATGGCAGGGACTGTGCTAAATGCTTCACATCCTGAAGTAATCCTCGTAATGCCCCTATAAAATAGTATGCTTACTCTCCATTGCATAGAAAAGGAAACAGAAGCCAAGAGAGTCTAACTAATTTGCCTCAGGTCTAGCATTCTCAAAAGAGGGTTGGGAAAATTATATTTCAATCCTCTTTCTGGGACGCCTGGGTGGCTCAGTCATTAGGCGTTTGCCTTCGGCTCAGGCCATGATCCCAGGGTCCTGGGATTGAGCCCTGCATCAGGCTCCCTGCTCAGCGGGAAGCCTGCTTCTCCCTCTGCCTCTGACCCTTCCCCGCTTGTGCTCTCTCTCACTCTCTCTCTTTCAAATAAAATAAAATCTTAAAAAAAAATAAATGCTCTTTCTACTACGAATTCACTGCAACCCTAGGCAAGATACTTCATTCTCCCAAGTTCATACATTTCACATATACTTATGGAGTACTTTCTCTGTGCCAGATACTCTGCTCAGTACTGGAGATTAGCGGTGTATGAGACAGATACTGTCCCTGCCTCTTTCTTGGCCTCAGCTTTCCCATCCACAAAATCATTCAGGCCCTTCCAATTTAAAGACTGGTTTAAAACAGTCTGTTCAGACAGGAGGAGAGAAGACTTGGGGATTTGTGAGAGCTTCCTTCAGTCCCCTGAGGTGCTGCGGGCCCCAGAGTATAAAACCACTATCCACCACTGAGATCTACAGAAAAACATATTAGCAATACAAAGAAAATCTCCTAACCATCTGAAATGTTCAAAAACAGGTTATGAAGCTTCGGGAAGCAATGTGACATGTGTTTTCCTGTCATGTTGTTTTTGTTTTATCACAGCTGAGAAGAGGATAGATTGACCGGTGGGAGAGAGGGGCAGAGATAGCTAGAGCCTGCTGCGTGTGGAAATCCGTTCGAGAGATGGCAAAGGCCTGTGTAAGGTAGTAGTAGTGGGGACAGAGGCAAGGGATTGAAGCCAGATACGGGAAGGCCACACTTGCAACCAGAGCAACAGAAAGAGGGATCAAGGATGAGTCCTGAATTTTCACCTTGGATAACCAAGTGGTGCTATTCGTGAGGGAGAGAACATGGAGGAAGACCAGAGGGTGGCAGCTGACCACATGAGTCCAGTCAGGGGATATAATGAGAGGTGCCTATGGCATAACAAGGTAGAGATGTTGAAACAGCAGTTGGATATACTGTTCTAGAGCCCAGGAGAGAGATCTGGGAGCCATTGGAATATTTCACAGGGGTTCTTAACCTGAGGGCCAGGGACGGTTTCAGAGGGCCCCAAATGCAAACACTTATGTATGCACATGTGATCCTCTGGGGAGGAGGGCCTGTAGTTTTCCTTAGGCTCTTTAGGAGATCTGTATCCACAAAAACGTGGAAAACACTGAAATATTTGAATGCCAAGGATTAGTCTCAATCATGCTTTTGAAAAAAAAGAAGAGACTGATTACTATTTACACTAGGGGGCGACGTAGGGCCAGTTGTGTGTGTGTATATATCACAAGGAGTTGGCTGGGAGGAAAGTTCTGGGCTGTAATCAATTCCCGTTGGAAACAGTGACATCTGTTTATCAGGCTGGATTCCAAAGCACTCAAAAGCCTTCAATTGGATCCTCAGTAATCGCGATGGGCTAAGCCATCCACAAGTCCTACAAATGTCTATGAAAAGGCTTACCAGGACTCAGGCAACAGTGTTCTTCCCCACAAATGCCTACTCTGGCCAACAGGCCATCGGTACCACGTTCTGTATATGGCACTAGTAGCCAGGGAGGGTATTTTAAGATCATCACATGTCCAAAGTCAAACTCCTTTATCTCTTCCTCTCCACCCTGCCTTCCAAAATCATTCTTTTAAAGGCTTCCTTCCCCAATTCAGTTCTTGGCATTGCCTTTACTCTGGAGTTCAGTGTGATCCAACAGAACTTTTGCATTAATGGAAATAGTCTATATCTGTGCTGTTCAAGATCACCAGCCATATGTGGGTGTTGAGCACTTGAAATGTGCCTAGTTCACCTGAGGAACTAAAATTTAATTATACTTAATTTTAATTAAATAGCCAAATGTGACTAGTAGCTACTGTACTGGACAGCAAAGTTCTAGATGCACAGGACGAAATGATGGAGGCTGCCTTAGACCCTTCTCTTTATCTCACCCCCCACATCTAATCTGTCATCCAATCTTGTGGGCTTTAACTTCAAAATATAACCACCTTAAACTGCTACCACTGTGGCCCGAGTCACCATCGCTTCCCACCTGAATTATAATAGATCCTTACCATCTCCCTGCTTACATCTTTGTTCCTGCAGTCTACATACAACACAGCAGCAAGAATGAGCCTGTTAAAATGCAAGATCCTGTCATTCTTCTGGTTTCCTAGTTCACAGTAAAAGCCCTTATGCAGGGCCTCAGAAGCCCTGAATAACCGTGCTCCCTGCTCCGACATTACCTCTCCCTTCCTCATTCTACTGCAACCACACTGGTGTCCTGGCCGTTCCTCCCACCTCCAGCCATGCTTCTATCTCGGGGCATTTGCAGTTGCTCTTCCTGCAGACACCCACAGAGTTCATTCCTCAACCTCCTCCTGTGTATACCAAATCATCACCTCAGTGAGCCCTTTCCCGACCATTCTAAAACTGCAACCCACCCCTACCCAGAACTTTTTCCCACCTTCCCTGCCTTTTATTCATAGTACATCTCATCAATATAAAATTCACATATTATCTTCTCCACCTAAAACACCAGAAGGGCAAGAATTTTTGTCTATGTTGTTTGCTGATGCATCTTCAGCATGTAGAGTGCTTGGTACAGAGGAGATGTGCCATAAATATCTAATGAATTAGTTAAGTAATTTGGTTAAGAGGTGAGCCAAGGAAGAGGCTACCTCTAACTGAGGTAGTCCTAGGAGCAAGGAACACTGGGTTATGAAAATAGCATTATTCAGGGTGTCAAGAGACCTGGGTTCAAGTCCACCAAATGACCACTGTGACTCCACACAGTCCTTCAACTACTGAGTCTGTTCCCTAATCTGTAAAACAGGAATACAAATCTCTTGCTTCCCTCATGTGTGGCTGGGGACCCAAAGAGATAATAAATGCAAAGCCCTTTATGGGCCACCCCATGAGGATGGGTCGGTTTTGATGAGGGTTTTGCCCAGGTGTGCCTTCAGAAGGAAGTTAATTGCAGAAACTATGATGACTGGATCCAACTCACTGAGAGGTAGCGGTGGCCATCTGTAACTCAGCAACACAGAACAACTTATTCTTGCAGTTCTTCTCATAGGGCAGCTGTAACCAAACAGAGAGAAGCAGGGGTCAGCCCAGGGACACCACCATCCCCAGTAACTTCTCCTTAGGACACACTTATCATTTCTTAGACTCTGAGAAGTACAGGTACACAGAAGTGGAGGCTGATAGGCTGGGGTTGTGCCCACATGGGCCAAGAGAGCTGTGACTGGCATTCCTTGACCTGTCAGGGGTAGGGAGTGTGCTTGGTCTTACAACACAGGTACACCACGATCAGGCCTGGTCCAGGTAAAAAATGGGGTGGCCTTCATGGAATGGTGGGGGTGCCTGTCACATTTATGTCATGTGAATTAAGCAGCAGTGTTCACAACTCACTAATCTGAACATCTGGGGGAGGAAAACCTAAGTGAAGAGAAGCTTCCCTAGTCCTTTTAAAAGTAGAGACAGGAACAGCAGGGGCAGGAATGGGGTATACCTAATCACATATTATCAGGTCCAGTCCCCATGACCAGTCTTCCCCGTAGGCTAAATATTCCCCTTATAATCTTGCCTACACTAAAACAAACTAATTTGGAAGGTTACATAGGGTCTAAAAGGCCCACTCAAGGTTGAACAGCCCTAGTTAAGTTGAAAGATCAAATTTTCTTTTATTATTATTATTATTATGTTGTTAGCCAGCACATAGTACATCATTAGTTTTTGATGTAGTGTTCAATGATTCATTAGTTGCATATAACACCCAGTGTTCATCACCACACATGTCCTCCTTAATATCCATCACCCTGTTACCCCCTCCCCTCACCCCTCTCCCTTCTGTAACCCTCAGTTTGGTTCCCGGAGTCCAGAGTCTCTCATGGTTTGTCTCCCTCTCTGATTTCTTCCCATTCAGTTTTCCCTCCCTTCCCCTGTGGTCCTCGGATCTATTCCTTATGTTCCACATATGAGTGAAACCATATGATAATTATCTTTCTCTGCTTAACTTATTTCAGAAAGATCAAATTTTCTAAAGGAGCTGCATCTATTTTTTATTATGAAGGAAACATAGCCAGCTCCTTAATAGGAGAATCTCTGTATTTATGTCCCCAGCAGCCAGTCACCACCTCAGCAGCTTTCTGCAAAGACTGTTACCATGGCTTGGAGCTGGAATGGGAGCTCAGAGTTAGAAAAGAAAACCTTCTTCCTGGAGAAGGGAGATGCAGTTTGCAGAGGTCAGATCTTGGAGCTCTATCTGGCTTGGTCAACAGTTTTTCACTCAACCCCAGTGGAAGAGAGCAGGATTAAACCAAGCTCCCAGCTAGAACTCATTTCTTTGGAAACATCTCTGTGCCTAACCCAACACCAAATAATTTCTCCACACCCATTTTATTGATGGAATAAATTTTTTTAAAAAATCTCTTTGCTGGACAATCAAAGTAATAATTGATTAAGGTAAGAATCATGAATGGATGTTATATAAGATATAAATACATAGTCTCAAAGCATCTCTCTATAAGATCCTTATTAATTACAAAAGGACAAATCAACATGACGTGCCTGGTGATATCTGAGTAAAGTTTGTACATTAGATAATGGCATTTTATCACTGTTAATTTCCTGATTTTGATCCTTGTACTGTGGTTTTGTAAGAGAATGTTCTTGTTTTTTAGGGAATATATGCTGAAGTATTGGGGGGTAAAGAGGCATCATATCTGTGACTTAGTCTTAAATGGCTGCAAAATATAAATGTGTGATGTGCATATATATATGTATGTATATATGAGAGAATGATAAAGCAAATATGATAAAATGTCAAAATGGTAACTTTTGGGGAATCTGAATAAAAGATGCATGGCAATTCTTTGGACTATTCTTTAATTTTTTAGCAAGCCAAATATTTCACAATAAAAAGGTTCTAAAAAACAGAATATATATAATTAATGTTCATCTGCTTATTCATGAAATTTTGTGACATTAGTTCTCCTAATCTTTTCTGAATCATCTAACTTGCTGTCAATACCAAATTTTTAAAAATTCTTTATAAAATAAATACACTATTATAAATACACTATTTATAAGTTTAAAACAACATTTCTTGCCTAAAATAATCAAGATGACAATCTTCACTCATAGGGAGGCTGATTCTCCCGCTTCCTGGGCAGGTGAGCAATGGAAACAGTTACCTTGATTATGTTACTCTCTTTCTATTCACTATTTGTGATTGATTCATTGGATATTGGCCAAAATTTGAGCCAAAGAATTATATAATTTAATTTATATAGAGCATTGTTGTAAAAATATTAGACAGTCATGACTGCCCTATGATTACCTGGAAATATGCTACCTGAAGCTTTTCTGTGCCAGTATGAACTGCTTTTGGCTTCTTCTTTTTCTTTTTGGAGATGCAGTTCATTCCAGCTGAATGTAATTATTATTTCAAATGCTCATGTTGTCACTTTGATCATGCTGAGTTTTCTATATGCTGTAAGACCCTCTAAATGAAGACTGACAGAATACCATGGGGGCCAGGGCCTAGGTGGGAACCAAATCACCTTAGATATCAAAGAATCAGGAAATCTGACTGTTTATTTCACCCTCTTATTTCCCTTAGTTATGAGAGAAGTTTCTTGTGACATTACCTGCTTGTTTAGGGTACAGGTTTTGTAGGCCAGACATTCAGCCTGAAGGCCGTGGTCAGGACCCGGGTCAGCAGATGCACTAAAGGGCATCCTGTCTACAGCACAGAGCAGGTTAGCTCTAGTTCAGGCCCCATACAGGACCCCCATCACACCAGGAACCCCACCACACCTCATCAGAGACCCTTGCCAAGTTGGACAACATATTCCTATGCATCATTAAATGTGTAGCAAGCACGTTTTCTGTGAACATGAAGGAACTAACCTTGCATGTGGTTTGGAGACTTGTGTTACCCACCAGTAAGGCCCTGGGCAAATTAACACCATCTTAGGAACTCAATTTCCCCATTTAAACAGCCAAGGGGCCCAAATACTGTCTGAGGGCCCTCCTAACTTTAACATTCTTTGAAGTTAGAGGAGCAGGTGCTTGTTCGGGTGTGGCTCCCAGGAGATTCTTGTGTAGCTGAGTCACCTGGAAGATGGCGAAGGGCTTAGTGTAGAAGTCCAAAACAGGGTGGGGATGGTCCCTCTGGCCCTCCGAGGTCTGGAGTTGGTAGCTGACGCTGACACTGATGTTGGAGAAGCAGTCCTCCTCACAGAGCTACAGAGTTACCAAGTAATGCAGGGTCAGAGTGGGGGACAAGATGACAAGGAGAATACTTTTAATTTTAAAGTAGTCATAATAAGAAATAAACAATGAAAGTGGTGAGTCGGAAGTTGTAAGCCTCTTCCAAATAAGCCAAGCTGAAGGGAAACTTCCTTCAACCAAGCTGTCTAGAGCTGTGGGAAAATCTCACTTGATCTGCTATGGCCTCAGGCCGGATAACTCCTGATGGTTCCCACCCCAAACCCAAAGGGATTTTGGCCAGCAGAAGTTTAAAACCAATTTGAATTTTTTGGAGGGCAAATGGATGCCACAGAAGGGAAGAATCATGGTCACATCTGTGTTTATAAAGATCTTTCTCAAAGCAGCCTGCAGGACATATTAGAAAGGTACAAGCTGAACATAAGGAGATTGCGTAGGGTGCCATTGGCCATTCTCCTTAAGTGAGCCTTTCAGCCACAGTAGGAGCTTTGAACACCCGAGAGTCAGTGAGCCTGATTCCTGTGTGGAAAATGGAGCTTTCATTGAAGGAAGGCATAGACTTGCTAGAAACTCTCTCATAATCCAGTTAACACTGAACAGACATAGGAACAGATGTGTAGGCAGAAGCATAATTTACGAGTTTACTGGCATAAATGATCCTTCTAAGTCCTTCTAGGCCCTGTCAGGCTCTGAATGCTGACAAATACATTTCTTTTATGTCTCTAGGCACCTTTGTCAGGAGTAAGCCTTTGTAAATGATAACTTTTGTCTTTATTTCTACTTTCTCATTCAAATTTTCTGATGTTTATTCATATAAAGGCACTCAGCCCCACTGCTACTACCAGGTGTGCTTTCAGGAACTCAATCTTTCAGTAGCCCCACTGCTACTACCACATGAGGTGGGGGACCTCTGTTATTCCTGATTGGTTACCAAGAAAAATGGCAGACAGTTGAACATTTCCCTTTGTGTCGAGCTTCTGGGAAGTTCAGAGGTACAGTAAATGTTCAATTTCAGCAGATTTCTTTACTCTGGAGTTCTAGTACAATTAACTCCGTCTCTCATGTCATTATGTGGTTCTTGATCTACTAGGATTATTTTAATTGCCTAGTTTGTTTTGGGTCTATGCCCTTCGTTGCATGCACCTCAAATCTTTTCTCAACAATACACACTCCTCTGGACTTTCTTCTAAACTCCTCCACTCACCTCTCCCTCTGTGGGAATGAGCAGGAGGGACTCACAAAGCCGAGGCACACCGCCATCCCACTCCTTATGGTGGCTCTGACAAATTCTCTTGTCTGAACACTGCAGCCTCTTCCTCTGCTTCATCACGTCCACATCCACCGTGAAGTTCAGGAGTGTCTCTCTGAAGCCTGGGAATGAAGACCAGACCTTCATGATGAGGCTGGAGTGGGTAAGCCTTAAACAAAGTGCCCCTCGCCTGCCTGCAGTTCCTTATGAGCCCCTCCTGCATGGTGTCCCCACCTAGTCCCTTGTGCTGGATTCCTGAGTTTCTTCATTTTGGAAGTACTTTTCTCATGGTCTTCTGGCACCTGGCTAGGGTTCCCCAGTGGCCCAGCTCCAAATCCATTCTCAGGGCTGAGTCAGTCTTCCCTTAGGGGAAGGAGGGCTCAGAGAAGAGGCTATGAGTGAAGGAGAAAGGAAGGAGGAAGAATAATCAGAAGATGGGAGAGAAACCATAGAGTAAAACCCGAGGATAGCAGAGCTGGAAGCACCTTCAGACCACCAGTAAGGGCCAGCTCCCTTACTGTACAGAATAGAAGAGATGGGAGATGGAGGCATGGCTGCTTTTTTCTGAGTGTGCTTTCACGAACTCAATCCTTCAACCTTGAGGAAGAGATCCAAAGCACCTCTTCCCAGCAGGGATAAATCCCTTCATAGTATGGATTTAATAGCAGACCACCCTTTTCTGGGTCACTTCCCATTAAACAGAACCTAATGTCAAAGGAACTCAGCTCTAATAAAGGGATTTCAAGCACCAGGACTTCATAACACTCCCTGTACCCCTCCCCCGGCAGGCCTCTTTTCCTGTCCCCTACTGAAGCCAACAAGGAATGACCACAACCCTTGGCAGGTGGTGGTGGGGGAGGTCAGTTAGGCTGCCTGTTACCTGACTTAGCAGTTGTGGTCATAGGGTTGATTTCAAAACACAAACATGCATTCACACTGCTGTTGAAGCCAATGGGCAGTGCCTTGGGGGTGAAGGTCATGGACACCTTCAGGTAAACCACAGGTCTTGAGCTAAATGAGACAGCAAAGAGAACTATGAGAAATGACTGTAAGACCTTCAGCGCTTGGCTCATTCATTCATTCAATGAATATTTATTGAACATCTCCAATATACCAAGTGTTGTTCTGCATTTTCAGGATAGAGTAGGGAAAGAGACAAGTCCCTCCTCTAGTGGGAAAATAGACAATAAGCAAATAAGAAGAAACTATGTACAGGTAATGCTATGATAATAAAATAGGATAAGGTAATAGAGATTGGGGGCTACTTAGGTTGGGTGATCAGGGCTGGCCTCACTGATAAGACATTTGAGATGTGTTAACTAGAGCTGAAGATAAGGGGACCCTCACTCCCAGCGGAAAGTACAGCTAGTACAAAGGGCGTGTGGCAGCAATGAGCTTGATTTGTTTGAGGAACACAGAGGTCAGCATGACCGGAGCATAGTTCGTGAGACAGAGCATAGGAGATGGGGGTGGAGGGGTAGGCAGGGCCAGGCCACGGAGAGGGTGGGCCACTGCAAGGAATTTGGATGTTCCTCTCCAAGTGGGAGCTGTTGAGGGGTTTTAAGCAGCAGAATAAAGGGATTACTCTGGCAGCTGCGTGGAGAATGGAGCATGGGGAGTGGAGGCAGGGAAGAATGCCATAGCAATGGTGGAGGTGAGAGATGACAGCGTCTTGTACGGGGAGGTATTTTGGAGACAAAGCCAACAAAATCTTGTTAATGGGGTGGCAGAAGAAGGAAAGAGGAACCAAGGATGACTCCTAGGTTTTTGTCCTGAACAAATGGTGCCATTTACTGAGCTGGGAAGCGTGGGGAAGGGCAGGTTGGGAGAATGAGGAATGGGTGAGAATATGAGGCCCATTTTTAGACATTTTAACTTTGAGATGCCTGACAGTAACAGCCAAGAGGGATGTTGGATAGACGGCCAACATTGTGGAGGGCACGGGGCAGATAGGTGCTTTGCCAGAGTCTTTACAGCCATGGGATTTGATAATTTACTTAGGGATGGAGCATAGAAGCTCTGAAATTCATATCATCATCAAAATAATAGCCTTCACTGACCACTGTACCAAATACTTTGCAAAGATTCTCTCAATCTTCATAACTCTGTGGGGTAGATGCTAGTGTTATTCCCATTTACGGATGAGAAAATTGGGACTCAGAATACAATAACTTGCCCAAGGGCCCATGGTAAATTGAGAACCGAGGTTCAAAGCCAGATGCACAGATCCCAGAGCTGATGCCCTTAACAAACACATTTACTCCCTCCATCAGTTCCTCGTGTCTTCATGGGGTCACTGAAGGCAGGGCAACTAGGTGAGGCTGGGACTTGGGACCACAGAAGGCTGGGCGAACCCCTACCGGAGCACAGTTGCCCGGCCCAGAGTGCCCACAGTGATGTCAGCAAGGTGGTCACCGGTCAGATCTAAGCCACCAGCCACTGACATGCCGAAGTAGTGGAGTCCTGAGGCGACCGCTGAGGCTTTGATCCGCTGTGGAGGGAGAAACACAAGGCATGGAGGAGCAGAAGGGGAGTCCTTTTGGGTTTTATTTAAATCAGCATGATCAGCTTTGGTCCCCACCCCAGGGAGCCCTCAGCTGAGGAACTGAAAAAAGAAGGGCAAGGTTTCCCAGGGGTAGTGGCATTTGAATGGAGCCCTGAAGGGCAGGTGGGACTTGACATGGGGAGAGCGAGGGAAGCAGGGGGTGGGGAAGAGCGGGGCCATCTGAGGACATAGCTGGGGGCCACTACAGGGGGAACAGAAGGGGATTTGGGTACAAGGAGGCTTGATGAGGGGCTGGGCAGTGAGGTGGGCCTGTCTAATCAGACATGGGAGAAGATGGGGAGAGACAGGAGCCAGGCCGGGGGTGGGAAGGGGAGACAGAATCATTAGGACATGTGTGGGGGATGAGTGGACGGGGTCCAGAGGAGCAGCAGGTCTGGGGGAAGAGGATGCTTTGGGTTAGGCAGCATGAGACTGAGATGCCTGGGGGGCCATCCAGTGAGAAACTGTGGTCTGAGGTGGGTAAAAGTGCCCACAAAATATGTAACATGAGAGGCTGGCAATGGAGTCCTGGGGCATGAGAGTTAAGGCATGGAGGAGGTGGGTGGGGGACAGGAGCCAGAGAAGGGACAGAAGGAGAGGAAGGAGAATCTGAGGGAGGTCCATGGTCAGGAATGCCAAAAAAGGGAGATACAGCTCAGGAAATAGACAGATGTTGCCACAACCTCTTACCCCACTGGAAGTGTCTGGGGTGAGGCCCTGGCCTGGAACCTCTGAGGGACTTCTGTGCTTCACTGGGCACTCCTAACCCCTTGGGACCTGCCCGACACTTAGAACTGCAGCTGGCTTGGGCTCAGGCCATCACATATAGGGGAGGTCAGAATCCCAGAGTAGAGGCTGAAGAAAGCCCTGCAGGTTACCTGAGAGGGGCTAGCTGAAAGGCCATCCTGGCGTCCATTGTAGATGTACACGCTGCCAAAGCTGGTGCCATCGACTGCCTCAAAACCCTCCAGGGGGGCCCCAATAGCCACATCTGTGAGGTTATCCTGACTGATATCCCCTATTGTTGCCATGGCAAAGCCAAATCGGACATTAGTGAATCCAGGGTGCCCACTCAGAGTGCATGCCAAGGAGAAGGAACCATTCTGTAAAGCAAAGAGGCAGCTCAGCCCTCAAGAGAGGGATGCAGGGTGCACACCCATGCCACCCCAGGAGGCACGCTCATTGGACTTGTTTCTGATTCTCTAGTAGGGAGGCTGAGGCTCAGAAAAAAAGGCAACGGACCTCCCCAAGGTTACACAGTGAGTGAGTGGTAAAGCTGGGATCCTCCTGCCTTGCAGTTCAGGACCCAGAGCCTGTTCCCTCTGTTCCCACAGTTATGGGTACTGGACTGGCAATTGGGAGGCCTAGGTTCTAGTCTTGGCTCAACCACACACTTGCTATGTAAACTTGAGCTAATCTCAACATTGTTGAGCCTCAGCTTCCTGAGATCAAGTGAGATCATAGACAAAACATGCTTTGTCAACTGTGCAGATCTGTGGGATATTATCATCATCAACATGAGACGATGGGGTGAAGAAAGTGAAAAAACAGAGTACGGGAGGAAAGGTGATGGTGCCCCATTGGCCACCATCCACCCTGAGCACCTCCCCATCGCTGTCCTTCCATGCAAGACAGGACCAGGGTGCTCCCAACCTCCAACACATCCGCACCAGGCTGAGCCGCCACAAGCCCAGCAAGCCTGCAAAGACGGAGACTCCCACCTGCTCATTCAGATGGTACACATAGACTCTGCCTTCCTCTCTGTGAATGTGGTAGAATGGAGCCGCCACCAGCAGGAGGTCCGTGGTCCCATCCATGTCAATGTCCACAGGGCACAGCTCAGAGCCAAAATAGGATCCCATCTACAGCCCAGGAGAAACTTAGCGCACAATGGTGCTGGGGAGGCCTTCCCGATACCCCTCAGCAAGGCCAGATCCCTGCTCCTGCTCTTCCTGACTGCCAGTTTGGGTCATTCCAGATCAACATGTTCACCAGAGTAACAAGAAAGCCTGGGTGAGCGGCTATATCCCCTGCAATGGGGGAAGCCAGCTGACAATCAGACATGCAGAGCTGGGGCAATGGCACTGCATTCTGCCTGAGTTCTGTCCAGGCTGACTCCATAACCCACTGTGTGCCTTGAAGTCTGTCCCATTCCCTCCAGGGCCACTAGATCCTCCCTCCGTAATAACAGGGGCACCCTTCTCCAGCAGGTACCTGCTCTCCCTCCAGCACTGGCACGAAGTTGGTCTCTCTGCCCTGCTTCTGGAGCTCAAATACGGCCCCCCGCTGCTTGTACCGTGGAGCCCCCGCCACATAGGAGAGGCCACAGGTCTTGTGCAGTAGGGCCACTGCGTAACCTGGAATAAGGGGGTTGGTGGTGGTTGTGGTTGGGAGCTCCCATTGGGCCACTCCTTTGACTCCCCCCGCCCACTTTCCCAGCCAGTCCGTCAAAGTAGCCTGGGCAGGGGGGCAGATTTGAAGAAACTATCTTTCTCATCCTTTTAAAAAATTGTCATCAGGGAGTGCTTGCACTTACCCACTGTGGCTTGTCACACACATGTGCCCCACCACACAGAAGTGATATGCACTCATTATTATATATACAGCTTCATTCAAAATACACTCCTTCACACACATTCACCACCCATGTTCATCACACACACAGTATATGAGGACCAGGGAGAGGGGTGAAGGGTCACTCACCACTACTCTTAATGGTGAGGCCCTGCCTCCTCAGGTAGCTGCCCAGGGCCACCCTGAGCTTCAGTACTGAGGAGGCCCTGTCCTCATCCAGAAGGCCCTAATTCTCAGCCTCAGGGTCCCTAACCAAGGCCTATTGCTCAGTCCATGTGACTGACCAGAGCCTGCCCTAACTAGGAAGCCTCATGCAGTCTGATGCCCAGCCTCAGTGTCCCTCTCTAGGCCCCACCCTCACTCAGGTGGTCTCCAGGCCCCGCCTCACCCAGATAGCTGTACTGTGCATTCTTGGTATCCGCCGCAGTCTGGTTCAGGAAGCGACCCTGGTGGCTGTGCATGTCGTAGAGCAGTGCGCCCCCCGACCAGTTAAAGGCCCCAACAGCACCAAGCAGCACCTGCCCCTACAAGGGACGAGTGTTGGAGGCCATCTGAGGGGGAGGGACCCAGGCCCACAGCAGGGGTGGGGGTACAGGCAGCCAGGGGGCAGGGGTGGAGGGCACGTTCACGTTCAGTGATCACTGACCACCTGGCTAGATACGCAGGAGGAAGATAAGACGGGCAAATACTCGGTTCCTGCCTTGTACCCATGACCCTATCAGGACAACTGTCCCTCCAGTACCAGTCAACCCCAGGACAGAAATCTGACCCAGGCCCCAGATGTTGAGCATTAAAACAAAGTAGGATTGAACAAGACAGAGTTCATGTCCTACTGTACAGGTTGCCTGGCACACAAGGCCCACCTGTGTTGAGCAATTTGCTAACCATAATTCCACGTCCATGCAAGGCTGGTGTCCTTACCATGCCTGCATCTTTTCCCATTGCAAGGAACAGTGCCTCTGAGGACAAGCATGAAACTTGGTAGGCAAGTGACCCAAGCCAAAGCCTGTGTTAGTAGTGCATATTAAGGGGGAACTGCTCTATCCCTGGGCACACAGAACAAAACGACCTCCTGTAATAAATATGGCCATTCTTTCATCTACTTCAGTGGTCCAGATTAGGGCAAGCAAGTACAAGTGTTTCCCTTTATCCTAAAAGGGCTGGTTCAGAGGCCTCGTTACAGGAGGGCAGAGCCCTACACTGTGAACCAGGGGTCCCCGAGTCCCTGGGTATCCCTGGGGCCCCTCCTCTACGGTAAGCCTGCCTGGTGTTGAGTTGGCCACATACCTTATCCAGGATCTGGGCACTGAACCCAATCTGTGCCAGCTGGTAGTGGAGGGCCTCTCCAACCGTGCCTAGAAGCCAAGAAGCCAGTGAGACACTGCTGTGGGCTGAGGTGAAGGGAGAAACCAAGTCAGGTAAGAGCCCAGTTTGATCTCATACCCAGAGGGAATGGCATTCAGAATAATGGGACATACACCAGGCTGAGACTGGAAACCTGGTCCTGATTTAGTAACTACTGGCAGAGTAAGCTTGGGCAGCTCACTCCTGCTTTCTGGGCCTCAGTTTCCTCATCTGTGAGTTCCTGAGAGTGGGATCCATGCTCCAGTCATCCTTCGTTCTCCAGCATCAGAAGAAGCTTCTCATCAGAGCTTCAGGGGACTCTGGGGAAGTGAGGAGGCCTGGGGGGGACTTTAGGGGGACCATCTTTATAGAGATGGGACAGCTAAGGCTCAGAAAAGTCAGGGGAGTTGCCCAGAGAGCCATACGGAGGTAGGACAGGAGTGGGGCCAGAGCACAGGGCTTGGCCTCCTGCCAGATGCTGAGAGGACTGCCCCGCCAAGGCCTCACCTTCCATCTGAATGATATTCTGCTGCAGTTTGCTCAGCAGTCCATCCAGGGCTGTGTAGTTGGTCACCTTGAAGGCATATCTCTCATCGGGGTCTGAGGCGATCAGCTTCAATTCACTGTAGGTCTTATTATTCTCAAATGCCTTTCCCACCTGCACAGGGGCCCTCAGTCAGTGGATCACGAGAGCAGGCTGGATCCCAGGCCCAGGGAGAGGGCTGAACTCCTCTGCTGGCCTTCAGGGCCCTCCACCCCCTGCCTCCGTTCCCTGCTCCCTGTTCTCCTGCACACACTCCTTCCTTCTCACACCAGGCTCATTCTCCCATGCTGTGTCCTTTGCCTGCAGAGCCCTTCCCACCTCCCCTGCACCCTAGATCAGCTCCTCCTATTTGTCCTCCAAGACTCAGCTTAGCACCATCTCCTCCAGGAACCTTCCCTGATGTCCTTCCTTTGGGATCCCTGCATGTCCACTGCTCTTCCCATCACTGCTGGGCAAGTGAGCTGTGACCACCACTGGGAAACAAGCCCTCTGTGGGAAGACCCAGTATGGAATGGGGGAAGTTCAGGATATAGGGACTGGGAGTAGTTGGTGAGTGTCTGTAAATAGAGCAAGGCTTGAGTAAGCTGTTTACAGAAGCCCCTACCAGGAACCCTGGCTCCTCCCCACCCCAGGCTGCACAGGGTCAGGAGGTGCCCCCAACTCTTGGCTCTTACCCCAATGGCAAAGCGCTCAACACCTTGCATCTTTGGGGAATTGATGACAGTAGTGAGGTTGAGTGGGTCCTCAAATATGTCCCCATCGGTGAGTACCACCATGACCTTGGATGCATTTTTTCTGGAGCCGTGGCTTGGTGTGAAGATGTTATCTCTAAGTAGGGGACAGTAAATGAAGAGGAGAACTTTGCCAGAGGGATATTGAGCTCTGGGAAATTTTATTCACTGACCTGTTTTAGAATTAGAGAGATTTAAGGAGCCCTCCAAAATGGGGAACAAAAATCCAAAGAGCCCCCCTTTGGCATATAGCAGGGCCAGGTGGAGGGGAGGCTGTGACACACCTTGCCCCTCACCTCCTCCCATAGAAAGGTTCTGGACAGCACTTCAGTCTACTCTCGTGAATAATAACGATATTAATAATAGTGGCTAATATTTACATAGTACTTATGTGCCAGACACTGTTGTAAGCACTGGATATATTTTAACCCTTTTAATCCTCACCAAATCCTATAAGACAAGTACTGTTATTATTCTCATTTTATTTAATTAATTAATTTATTATTTATTTTGAGAGAGAGAGAGAGAGTGTGCGCTCAGGGGTAGGGGCAGAGGGAAAGAGAATCTGAAGCAGACTCCATGCTGAGCACAGAGCCTGACATGAGGCTTGATCTCAGGACCAAGAGTTGGTCCCCCAATCAATTGAGCCACCCAGATGCCCCTATTTATTCTCATTTTAAAAGTGAGGCATCGGGGGCTCCTGGGTGGTTCAGTCCATTAAGTGTTTTGGCTCAGGTCATAATCTCAGGGTCATGAGATTGCACTCTGCATCGCTCTCCGCATGGGGCATGGAGCCTGCCTAAGATTCTCTTTCTTCCTCTCTCTTTGCCCCTCCTCCAACCTCCCACCCCTGCTTGCACATGTGAGCTCATTCTCTCTCTCTCAAAAAAAAAAAAGAGAAAAAAAAGAAAAAGTTAGGCAACTGAAGCACAGACAGGTTAGGCAACTCACCCAAGGTCTCTGAAGTACAAACTGGGGCTGGGATTGAACCCAGGCAGCCACGAAGCCCATACCTGCAAGCACCGTGCTCTACTGCTGCTCACAATAGGAGTCTTTGGAAGAATTTTTGGAGGATGTCTTGGGATATCATCCATCAGCCGGGGCTGGATTGAAAGACCTCGCATTCCCCTTAGCCCAGGAAGAGCTAGAACCTGATCCTCTCTTCCTCACTGCTCTATCCAGACACCTCTCCAGGCATGAGGCCTCGGAGCTTCTGGGCAGGGCCATGAGCCGGCATGTAGTAGGTGCTCAGGGAATTCCCACTGCCCTCGTACTTACAGGACATGCTGCATGGCAGAAGCAGTCTTGGTGACTCTCCCCACTTGAGTGATGTTCTGGACTCTGGCGAGGGAGGCCATCACATCCTGGCTATCCCGAAGATCAAACTCAGTCTGGATCACTTCCCCGTATTGCACCAGGGCAAAGCTGCACTAAAGAGCAGGAGCCAAGGTAGGGAGGAGGTTGGCAGAATCCCCATGCCCAAAGCACCCCCTGCCCCTTAGATGGCTCCCCCTGGAAGTAGTAAAAGAATCCATTCATTTCTCCTTGCCTCTAGGCAGGAGGAGATGTTAAAGCAGAGGGAAATCTCTAAGCAAGCAGAGATGGAGGAAGCTATGATAGTAATGGTTCCCAGGGAATCACGGACTTGTGATTCCTGAAATCATGTCTCTGTGTAGTCCCCCTCCCACATATAGACTATGGGGTTGGTCATGTGACCGGCTTTGGCCAATGGGACATTGGCAAATGTGATACAGTCAGAACCATGAAAAGTACATGCATGCTTTGGGTCTTGCCCTCTTGGAACACTGTAGCCATGAAAAAGTTAGGCTGGCCTGCTGGAGGCACATGGCCCAGACAAGTAAGGCCATCTTAGGCTATCCCAAGCAACAAGATGTCTGCAGCTGCAGGACTAACTGCAGGCAAGACCAGCAGAAGAACCACCCAGCTGAGCCCAGCCTACATAGCTTACCCACAGAACTGTGAGCAAATAAGTGGTTGTTGTTTTGAGGTGGTGTGTTCACAGCAATAGAGAACTGATAGACCATGTGAGTCTACCTCTTAGGGAAGCCCACCTCAAAGCACTTCTCATAGAAGTTCCTCATCATGTTGGAGATGAAGTCTTTGGCTCTCTGGAAGTCTGGGGGTTCAATGCTTCCTGAGCCATCCAGGACAATGGCAATCTCAGTGCCTGGTCAGGAGTGAGCATAGGATTTGAGGCAGCAGTGAGGGCAGCATGTACTGCCCTGCAGGGTACCCACCCCATTCAAGCTCTGGGGGCTCAGTTCAGGGAGGAAGTTGGTAAAGTTCCCAAGATTGAAGATTTTGTCTCAGAGGCAGAGAGAGCCAGAGCCTGCTCACTCTGACTTGCCAAGTGAGTCACTGCCATCGCTCCTGCTCTTTAGGCCTCAGTTTCCCCATCTGTAATATGGAGGAGGGCAGAGCTGGGACTGGCCAGGTCTATAGAATCTAGCCACTGCTCCCCATCTTCCAGACCTAGGCACACCTCCCCCCAGAGGCCTCAGAACCTCTGGGCAGGGCTGCTGGAGGTCGTCAGCCTAGGGATTGGCTCTGATGGCCTCTGAGAGCAACCCAGATCTGCCTCTTCTCACCAGCTGCCTCCTCATCATCATCCTCCTGTGTCTTCAGAGCCCGGCGCCACCTGGCTGGCTTCTCTATGTTGCCTTTCTTGTTCCTGTGGCAGTTTCTGTCTTCCACATGTGCACTGGGATCCAGATTTTCTTTAAAAAATGCACATGGAAGAACTCAGAGTCAGACAGCCTCCTTGTTCACCTCCAGGCAGGCCCACACTTAGATCTGCCCTGATTCCCTTCACAGGGGCCTAGGCTTGCCTTGCCCTATGTCCCTCTACATCTGCCATGCCTCTTCTTAGAGACCCGAGGAGATCTCTTCAATGCTGTCCAAGGTCAGTGAGTGTCCAACCCTTACCGAGGTTGGAGAAGTGGACCTGGGTGTAGTTTTGGAAGTTGTTGGATAGTAGGCTGCATGTCCCTGTGAGTTCTGAGCTGAGGCTGTGGGGCTGCCGGGCCAGCACTTGAATGCAGATCTAGGGGAGGGGGGAGAAAGGGAGGGAGGGGAAAGCCTAGGTCACCTCCAGCACAGTCCCCCTAATCACAGCTACACCATCACTCCCATGCCAGAACCAAGTTCATCAACCAGGCAGAGGATGTAGGAGTAGTTGGTTCACCCCTCAGCAGGGGGTAGGAATCATGCTGGGGTCAAAGCTGAGGTTAAGCACCTGGGTCAGTGTGCTGCTCACATGGAGTACCCAGGTCCAAGCCTTGGTCAGTCCTGGGGTTGGTACCAAGGAGATAGCTGGGCTCAGCCCTGAGAATATACCAGTCAGACCGGTATCAACACTGGTCAACCATAGGGTTAGTGCCACCCTCCCTGAAGCCCTCCATCGCCCCACCTCATGCACACTCACCAAAACACTGTGGTGGTTCCGAACAACTGTCACTCCCCGGTACCTCCCCTTTGGGGTGGGGACAGTCTCTGAAACAGTTAAGGCCAGGTAAGGAGGGAGGGATGCTGGGAGGCAACTCTTCAGCCAAGGTCAGATGTCACGGGGCCCCATGAAGAACTGTTGGCCATTCGGAGCAGCCTCTAGAAGCTGGCTGAGGGGATTTCAAGTACAGGCCTGGACATGTTCAGGGCAAAGTGGCTATTCCCCAGACTTATTCACTGATTCATTCAACAAATGTTCTGTGATGTCTGCTCTGTGCCTGGCCTCATGCCAGATGGTGATGGGGATCTAGAAATAACTGAGACCTGGGGCTTTTCTTACAGGGGGTCCCAGTCTAGAGGGGCAGGAGGGCAGAGAAGCACTAGCTGGTGGGTGTGTGCAGCACCAGGGAGGTGTGCAAGATGCTAAAGGACTGGCTGTAAGGATCAATGAACTCTCTAATCTCAAAGTTCTGTTGCTGGAGAATCTTACTGCCCCCCACCGAGACCCCAGGGTGAATGTGTAGCTCACTCATTTCTCTCTATATTGTGGGCCTCAGAAGATGCATTTTTGAGCCATAAGATCACTCAGTTACCCTGCCAGCCTGCATCCCCTTCTGAAGCAGAGAGTGAGGCTGTTCCACATCATGTCCCTCACGGAGACAAGGACTCTACCATACACAGTCGAAGGGTCATCAGCAAATGTAGGCCTTGAGCTGGACTGGGTGGGATGGGTAAAGTTGGTTAATGAGTGAATTAGGTCCATTCATTTGTTCACTCATTTATTCTTTCAAATAGCATTTATTGAGTGTCTACTATATGCCAGTCCCATGCTAGATGCTAGGATGGCCACAGGTTGGGAGGGGTGGGGTTGGATTCCACTGAGGTGTGTTGAGTTGGGACAAATTGGGTTTTGGAATCAGAGTTGAGTTTGCCAGCTCTAGATGCATGACCTTAGTCATACTGGCAATCAAAGGACTTCTCTGAGCTATAGCTTCCTCTTTTATAAAATGGTGTAATTTTGAGGATTAAAAGTGAACAAAGCACTTAGCACAGTGCCAGGCACATGGTGAGCACTCAATACATTTTAAGTATCATTTTTGTTAGGACTGGGTCTGGAAAGGTGGGCTGGGGATCAGGGTCAGGTTGGGATGGGGTCGGGCATTGGGATAGAAAACCTGTTGGTGGTGGAATCTAGGGTAGAGGGACTGGACTAGGTTCAAATGGATTGGGCCAGATAAGTGGGATTCCTTGGAAGGAGGTCCTAGGAGCATTCCCTGGAGCTGAGGTAGACTTACCTACTCGTTTACAGGAGATCTTATCTTGGATGAGGGAACAACAGTGCAGGAGGCCTGCTTCCCCCTTGGTTTGAGGGCCGGTGACCAGGAGCCTAAGTTGGAAAGGTAGACAGCAAAGTTGAGCTGGCCAATGATTCCTTTCTCCTTTCTGCATGCCCAGGCACTGTCTTCCCACTCCCAATCCAGAGGCTCACAGGCCTCCCTATCTGGAAAACTAATGGAGGAGGTTCCGACCTGAGGCAGGCAGGCAGACTCCAGCCCAGAATGGCAGATTCTGCATTATGTGGGAGGCATTTGCTTAGCATTTACCTTTACACAGCTCCAGGTGGGAAATGGTTAAATGCACCTGCTCTCTGCTGACTCACCCTGACAGAGATGGGGGTGGTACTTATGGTAAATAAAGACTCCCTACTCTTTGGGGTGGGGGGGGTAGGTACCAGGAAGCCATCAGCAGGACAGCTGGTTCTGTTGGGGGCAGTGCTGGCTTCCTGGTGGCTGCCAGGGGAACTGCCCCCCCTGGCCTCAGTGATAGTATTTCCTGAGAAGAGCATGTTGGTGCTCTATCCTATGGGTCAGTCAGAAATGGAGGTTTGAAGGGGGAGCGCCTTAGCCACATTAAGGCAGCCTCCAGAGATATGATTCCCTAAGGCAAACTTTGCCCCTCATCCCAAGCCCAGGGAGACAGCAGAGTCCAGTGTCCGCCTAAGCATTCTCATTATCCACACTGCCCAGGGAGAACTGGTCTGCTTCAAGGCAGGGAGTGAGCTCCCCATCCTAGGGGTTGGGTTGTGAGTAGGGGGTATTGAGGAAGGGGCCCCGAGGCTGGGCTTGGTAACAGTGAACCAGTTCCAAGATCTTTGTGCTGAGGGCAGCAGGAAGCCACGGAGGACTTTACAATGGGGAATATTAGTCTGTACTTTCAAAAGGTCATGATGCAGCTATGGTGGGTTGGGTGGCAGGATTGAGGTACCATCTCCACTTCCTCACTTCCTATCACTCTATTATAATTATGAAATAGATCATTTACTTATCTCCATGGATTAAGAATAATAATAAAGTCTACACCTGTGTATATGCCCCCAACCCCAGCTTAACCCACCCCAAGCTGATTCTACCTTCTGATACGGCTACTGTCAAGGTTAACAGTGGTCCCCACACTGCCAAATCTAATGGACACCTCTCTGTCCTTATCTTCTTCAACCTCTCAGCAGCCCTGGACATCTGACCATCCCCTCCTTGAAATACTTTCTTCTTGATTTCCCCCTACCTCTCTCAACACTCTTTCTCAGACTCCTTTGTTGGCTTCTTCACTGTCTAACTTCTAAATGTTTCTGGAGCCTTGGGGCTTGGTTCTTGTTTTCCTTGCCAGCACATTTTCCCTAGTGATCCCCTCCAATCCTATGGCTTCAGTACACCTGTAAATGCTGAAATTCTGTGGCCCTAGGATTCCTCCACCAGAAGTTAGGCCAGCATCGCTGTAGGAAATAGGAAATAGCTGTAGGAAATGCAACCCCCCCAAGATGTCTATGTCCTAATTCCCAGAACCTGTGAATGTGCTACTTTTTGTGGCCAAATGGATTTTGTAGATTTGATTAAGTTATGGATCTTGAAATAAGGGAAATTATCCTGGTTTATCTCGGTGGACCCAATGTAATCACAAGGGTCCTTATAAGAGGAAGGTAAGAGGGTCAGAGTCAGAGAAAGATCTGAAGATGCTACACTGCTGATTTTAAAGATGGAAGAAGAGGTCAAAAGCCAAGGAATGTGGTTAGCCTCTAGAAACTGAAAACGGTGAGGAAACCCATTCTCCCCTTGAGCCACCAGAAGAAACACAGCCCTGCTAACACACCTTGATTTTAGCCTATTTAGACCCATTTTGGACTTCTGACTTCCAGAACTGTGAGATAATAAATTTGTGTTGTTTTAAGCCACTAATTTTGTGGTTGTTACAGCAGCCATAGGAAACAAATGCAATGACTAACTGCCCCGTCTAATTAGACTGACCAAACAGAGCTTGGGGTCTTGTCCTCCCGAGCCTGTGCTTGCCTCCCTCCCTCCCTCCCTCCCTTTCTTCCAAGATTTTATTTATTTATTTGACAGAGAGAGACACAGCAAGAGAGGGAACACAAGCAGGGGGAGTGGGAGAGGGAGAAGCGGGCTTCCTGCTGAGCAGGGAGCCCGGTGTGGGGTTCGATCCCAGGACCCTGGGACCATGACCTGAGCCGAAGGCAGCCACTTAACAACTGAGCCACCCAGGTGCCTCAAGTTTATGCTTTTCCATTTTCCCCAAGGCAATAGATGGTAGCACCAACCACTACATTATAAAGCCTGAAGCCTGGGTGCATCTTTATTTGCTTCATCTTTTCACTCATCCGAGCATCAAGTCCATCAGGAAACCCTATGGATTCTTCCTCCAAATTATACCTACAGAGCATCTCTTCTTTCCATTTCCCCATCACCATCCTGGCCACCAGCATCTTGCCTGGTCTATGATAATAGCCTCCTAACTGGTAGTGTTTGTTTTTGAAATTTACCCTTATAGTTTATACCATATCACTCCCCTGCTTCAGTAGCCTCCCATGTGCTTAGAAAAAGAGTCCATACTCCTTGATGCACCCCACAGGGCCTTGCCAGTCTAGCCTCTCTCTGCCTGAGACCTCCTCTCCCCATTTCTGTTTTTTTTTTTTTATGATTTTATTTATTTATTTATTTGAGAGAGAGAGAGTGAGTGAGAAAGAGCATGAGATGGGGAAGATCAGAGGGAGAAGCAGGCTTCCTGCCGAGCAGAAAGCCCGGTGCGGGGCTCGATTCCAGGACCCTGGGATCATGACCTGAGCCGAAGGCAGACACTTAACGACTGAGCCACCCAGGCGCCCTCCTCTTCCCATTTCTTTGCTCTCCAAGCTCCAGCTCCACACTGGCTGGCTTCTGTTCCAGCCCCTTCTTTGGACAGCCCCAGGTCTTGCCTGCCCCCAGCCCTCTGCCTTGCTGTGCCTTTTGCCTGGAAGCCTGCCTTTCACTCCCCAAGTCTGGCTCATTTCCATCTCCTGGCCTTGCTTAACTGTCACGTCCTCATAAAGGCTTTCTCCAGCCAGCCGCACCTCACAGCACAGCTACTCTGCTTCATGTCTCTCAGTTTTATTTCCTTTTCAGAACTTGTTATGTCTGATAGTATCCTTTTTACTTGCTTATGTGCTTATTATCTGTCTCCCCCACTAGACCGTAAGTTCCTCAAGGATCACATCTAATCTTGTTTACCATGTTATTTCCAGAGCATGGAAGAATGACTGGCACAGAGTTAGGGCTCAGTAAATATGGTTAAATATTGACTGAATTACAGCCCAGGAAGCAGGTAAGGGTGCTAATGTGGGGCAGGGCTGAAGAGCAGAGAGGCAGCTCTGTGGGCTCTGCAGCTGAGCTCCCAAAATAGGTCACCTGCTCAGCAACCCTGCCTCTGCTCCAGACTCCTCCCCGGGCTGAGCCTCAGCCCTTGGTCTAGCACCTCATTCCCTCTCCCCCATAAAGGTGGGGTCGGAACTAGTCTCCACTCCAGATCATGTTTTGGTGGGGTAGGTCCAGGTCTGGAATAGCCTCAGCTCTCCTTCCTCCTTCAGGCCATTGCCTGAGCTATTTCCTTCCCAACTCCTTTTCCTGCCAACAGTCATCATAAACAACTGCTCCTCAGGAAGTCTTCCTAAAAGGAGCAACTTGACCCCCTCCAAGCCTTCCAGGTAGCCCTGACTACTGGAACCCACCTCTATACTCACCTAGACTGTGAGTTCTCAAGAGACTACCCATATACAGCTGTCCAGGCTGTGAACTGCAGAACCCAAGGTTGCCGTTCATATCAAGTCATGCAGTGCTGTGGCCTGGGGCCCAGTCTGAGCTGCCTCTGTTGCCCACCCATTTTACCCCCCATGATGGGTAGTCTCTTGATCTCCAGGTTTGTTGACTGAATGACTGACTAACAATAACCAAACCCACCATCAGCTGACATCCCCGGGGACCCTACTGTACCCTAGGCTAGAAGCAGTCCATCTCCTGCCTTCACCCACCTTTAACCTAGGTCCATTCTGAGTCAAATCCCATACCTCCCAGGAGAAGGCCTTCTTTTTTTTCCCCAAGTTTTTTTTTTTTAAAGATTTTATTTATGTATTTGACACAGAGAGGGAGAGCACAAGCAGGGGGAGCAGCAGAGAGAGAGGGAGAAGCAGACTCCCCACAGAGCAGGGAGCCCGACGCGCAGCTCGATCCCAGGACCCTGGGAACATGACCTGAGCCGAAGGCAGATGCTTAACGACTGAGCCACCCAGGTACCCCTACCCCAACTTTTATCGTATTTTTTTAGTTTATTTTTTATGGTTTCATTTGCATTTTTATTGAAGTATAATTAACATACAGTGTTATATTCGTTTCAGGTGTGGAAGGCCTTCTTTATGTTCCATTCATTTCACCCTGCGGCAACGACACCCATCATGCTGCCAGCCCCGGCTGTTCTATTTTAGGGAGAAACAGCACAAGGGAGTGAGAGGGACACATCACCCTTTCACAGGGAGCCCAGCCTCCTCCGCTCTCTGTGGCCCTGAGGAGGCCAGCAGCACATTTCCTGCTCAGCACGGCAGGCCCGTGGTCTTGGGCTTCCCCATTTGTGGCAGGAACCCAAAGTTCCTTCCACCACATCCTCCCGTGAGCCCCCTCTGCTTCAGCAGGTGTTCAGGGAGGTTTTCATGAGCCCAGCTGGGCTCTCCTTGCACCCTGTGGTGGACTCAGAGCCTTCTGCTCCAGGGGCTCCAATCACCTTGGCTTCTAGTCAGGCGGCCTGGAGCTGGAGAGGGTCCTGCTGGGGTACTGGTGGGAGGGGACTGGGCAAGAGATGGTCACAAATAACTGGGATTGACACTTGGCTTTCAGGAGCATGGGGAGCAACCAGAACACTCATGCACTGCAAGTTTGGAAAACTAAATGTTGGCTCTATGCATAAGTCCTGATCCAGCAATTCCAATGCTGGGCACATGCCTGATAAAAGGAAGTACACCTGCCCATCAAGACCAGTATAATTTGTCCAAGGAAATTGGCCAAATGCCCACTGTCAGCACTGTTCACACAATGGAAGACTTAGAGCAATGAGAATAAGTATCATTGTCTCAGGCAATACCATTTTCAAAATTCACAGACTCTGTTGAGGAAGAATAATGGCATGCCTCATTTATAAGTTCGAGAACAAGCAAAACTAATCCAGGGAGGTGAAGATAAGAGCATTGGTTAGCTCTTGGCAGGGGATGTGCCTGGAAGGGAACACCAGGCTAGAGGGGGCTTAGGTGAGGCTGGTAATGTGCTTTTTTTTTTTTAAGATTTTATTTATTTATTTGTGAGAGAGAGAGAGAGAGAGCGCGCGCACAAGCAGGGGGAGTGGAAGAGGGAGAAGCAGTTTTCCCTCAGAGCAGGGAGCCTGATGTGGGACTCGATCCCAGGACCCTGGGATCATGACCTGAGCTGAAGGCAGACGCTTCACTGACTGAGACACCCAGGCATCCCGAGGCTGGTATGTTCTGCTTCTTCATTTGGATGCTGCTTACATAGGTGGTTCATTTTGCAAACATTCACTGAACTACACGCTTATGATGCGGGCATTTTTCTGTGTGGCAAATGTCCATAAAATTTTACCAAAACAAGAACAACAAAACACACAACAAACACTGACTTTAATTCATCTTCCTGCAGCCAAGAACTTGTTAACAACCTTCTCACCACCTCTTCCTGCTTCAAACCTTTCTGGAGCCTCAAATCCTTGTTGCCTAGGTGGCAAGGCAGCACCCACCTATCCCAGCCTATTGCTCATTGCACTCAGCTTTGATCATTTGACATTTTCTGTTCCTTGACTTTGCTCCCACTGGCTTCCAGGCTTCTGACCACACTGCTCTTGGTTGGGACATCCCCCTCCCCTGCCTTCTCACACTAATTCCTACTCATCTACTCAGCCCCAGGGTTGATGCACACCTTGTGGCTGAAGGATACACCTGCCTCTATGTCTCCAAAGTACCCTAGACATCCCCACCAGAGCTGCCATCACTCCTCTTGTCATTGCCTGCCTTGTCTGTCTCCTTCATGAGCCAGGGGGTTCCACGAGGGGAGGGACTCTGCCTCTTTCACTATCTTATCCCCACACTTAGCCTGTGATTGAGTCGATGCTCCATAAATACTTCCTGAATGTATGAATGAATGAACAAACTGACCCTGCCCTCCCCACTTGCATGGTCACCAGCCTCTTCACTGTACAGGGAGGAAACCACAGTCTAGCAAGGGGTCCAAGCATGCTTAGCTGGCGGGGTCATGGCCCAAGTCCCAGGGCTATAAGGCTGCCTCAGAAGCTGTTACTGCCTACCCATCCTCCACCAAACAGAGCTTCTGCTATGCTCAACTTGGGAAGATGGGGAGCTCCGCTCAGCCAGAAAACTTGGGCTCCTCATCTGGCTCTGCCCCAAAGCCTGTCTGGATGCTGGGCTCATGGCTCATGTGTGCTGGGTAAGAAGGAAACCCTTGACCACTGACAGGAAGCAAAGCAGCGGGGATGGGGAGGGGACTGGCCTGGGGCAGGGCATGAGCAGCGCTGGGTCACAGCAAGCACAGAGAAAGCCATATGACCATTATGAACAAAAAGGAAAGGAAAAATTGCTCTAGATTAAAAGAGAATAAAGAGACACAACAATATGGCACATGTGAACCTTGACTGGATCCTGGCTTCAAAACAAAGCAGCTCTAAAAGTCATTTTGATGACAATAAGGGACAAAACTAAAGACATGTTTCTACATTAGCATATCCCCACTATCACCATCTGATATAATACATATTTTCCTTGCTTGCTCATTGTCTATCTCCCGAGCCTAAGAATTTTTGTCTACTTTGCTCACTGCTGTATCTTCAGGGTCTGGCACATAGTCAGTGCTCCGTATAGATATTTGTTGAATAAATGACCATTGTATATATAATTCAACAATCACCGTTTTTACCTTACATTTTGGGAGTGATTCAAGTTAACAACCACTGTGCTCATTTTATTCATTTGACCTGCTTCTAATATTGCATTGTATATGATTCACAGCTTATTTCCTCCATTTTCCTAATGAGGACCATTTCCAGTCTTTCACTATTCTAAGAAATGCTACAATAAATAGCTTTACATGTGCCTGGGACTATCTCTAAGGTTGGCGTCTGGGAGTGGAATGGCTGGGTCAAAGGCATCTTCGACATTACCAGATATGGTAAAATGATTCTCTGAGTTGGTTGTATCAATTTACAGCCCCACAGGTTCCCACATCCTCACCAGCAGAATTTTGCCACATTTAAAATTTGTGGCTTATCTAATGGATGGGTACAGATGAGATTTTTATTTTTTTTTTTAAAGATTTTATTTGTTTGAGAGAGAATGAGCAGTGGGGAGGGGCAGAGGAAGAGAGAAAGAGAAGCAGATTCACCATGGAGCAGGGAGCCCAATGTGGGGCTCCATCCCAGGACCCTAAGATCATGACCTGAGCTGAAGGCAGACACTTAACCAACTGAGCCACCCAGACATCCCCCAGATGAGATTTTAAAAACACAAATGCAATGTTTAGTGAGCTTGAGTTTGGCCAGAAACTGTAATAAATCCTTTCTGTGCATTAACTCAAATAGTCTTATGCAACAACCCCGTGATGTAGGGAAATCTCTACCACTACAGTAGAGATAAGAAACGGGTTGTGGGTTGAATGCTTCACTACAAGTACAGAGTAAAGCTGTCACTGACCCATGGCTACCAGACCCACAACCTGCCTCTTAACCACATTCCCTGATGCCTCACAGTTTCCATTTTTTCTCTGATGTTTTTGTCATTGCCCAAAATTTCTATACTGAGCATTACAAAACAGCCTTAATAAACTTTATTTTAAAATAGTTTTGAGGTCATATCCTGCCCCCCGCTCCCTGGCAGTAAAGAGGGCTAGGATTGGCCTGGTGCTCACAGCCTCTCTCCTGTACACCTTTTTGAAAGTGAAGGGAGTTTTTTCCCAGACTGTGGGGGTGGGGTGCAAGGCCCTCTCTGGGGCTTGTTCAGACTCCCCAGAGGCGCCCTCAATTATGCCTCCCATCTGCCAGGCACCACTCACCAGGTCTGGTTGGTGCTGGAGTCTTGGTGCAGAAGGGAGCTGAGCACATAGGGTGTGTCTCCCTCAGGAGTCACCCAGATCCGGGCCTCATCCACGTTGAAGGCCACCAGAAGAGCAAGGCCTGTGGAGAACAGAGGAACATTTAACAAAAGAGGGAGCCTATCGAGGCCTTGGCCAGGCCTTTGACCCCCATCATTCAGTCACATCTTGTGGGGTCATCACACCCATTTTACAGACGAGAAATTGAGACTCCCAAGATCTTTTTCCTGTGGGAATAGGACAGGAACGTAGGCATGTCTGACCCAGAACCCCGCCCCCCCAATCCTCCTACTAAACTGTGTCAGCACCAAGGCCTCTTCCTCCAGGAAACTTTCCCTGGTTCTCCCCTAGAAGTACTTCCCACCTTCTCACACCTCCCACTATGCACTTTCTGTACCTGTCAGCGCATACTCATGACAGGGTCTTGTACCAAAGTTGAGCCCCAGGGAGAGGATATACATACATTCTATCTATGACCTTCCATCAAGTGACCCAAGAGAAAACATGTCTTCAAACAGGTACAAGCATGTTTGCAGAAGTTTTATTTGTAATAGTTCCCAACTGGAAACAATCCAAAGGTCCAGCAACTGGGGAAGGGATAAACTGTGGTATATTCATACAATGGAATACTACTCAGGAGTAAAAAGGGATGAGCAATTGACACACACAACGAGATGGGTATATCACAAAAATCATTATGCTGAGTGAAAGGAGCTTTACATAAAAGAGCATCTACTGTATAATTCCACTTACATGATGTTCTAGAACCAGCAAAACTGATCTATAGTAAAAAATATTTCCTGGGGGTATGGGGATGGGGTTTAACTGGGAAGGGACAGGAAGAAACTTTGTAGGCTGATGGAAATATCCTAGATCTTGACAGGAATTTGCATGACAAAGGTGTGTGCATTTGTCAAAAACACACTGAATGGTCAACTTAAAATTTGTGCATTTCATCGAAGGTACATTTTCCCTCAAAAAAGAACCATAAACAAACACTGAACTCTAGTTGATGTGTATGCTGAAATATTTAGGGATAAAGTATACCAATGTCTGCAGTTCACTTTGAAATGCATCAAAATGCAAGATGGCTTGATGGATGGCTAGACGGATATGCAGATATATGTTTATATATATGATATATATGTGATAATGCAAATAGAACAAAATGTTGACAATTGTAAAATCTAAGTGTGGTATATAATTTTCCACTGCACAATTATTTCAACTTTTCTGTATATTTGACATCTTTCACAAAAAGTTTTGAGGAAAAATTGATATTGACAGATTGCCCCCCACAGAGGCTATGCCAATTCATACAACAACAGAATAGGAAAAGGCCTGTTTTCCCACAGCGCTGCTTGAGCTGTGTGCAGACCTTTTCATCCTTGTTTTGAAGGAGTACCTTATCATTTTGTTCCAAAATATATTTTTTTAAATTATGAGTGAGGTCAAGCCTCTTATTTTAAGTTGTTTACTACCTATTAATATACATTATCCATTTGTATGAAGTATTTATTGCTTTCTTATTAATTTGTGAGAGTTGTTTTTTTTTAAGATTTTATTTATTTATTTGACAGAGAGACAGTGAGAGAGGAAACACAAGCAGGGGAGTGGGAGAGGGAGAAGCAGGCTTCCTGCCGAGCAGGGAGCCCAACGAGGGGCTCGATCCCAGGACCTGGGATCATGACCTGAGACGCTTAACGACTGAGCCACCCAGGTGCCCTGTAAGAGTTTTTGAATCCAAAAAAAATTATCAATGTGTTAAAGATATTGTTTCTCACTTAGCTATTTATTTGGCTTGCATGAGATCTTTCCCCACATCTATAGTTTGTATGTAGTCATTTTTCATTTATGACTCTTGAGTTTTATGTCATGCTTCCCCATTCAGTGATTTTTTTTTAAGTTCACTCATGTTTTCCTCTATATTTTAGGGGTTTTTTTGTTTCACTTCTTACACTTGAATCTTTGATCCAGCTACACTTTATTTTTGTGTATGGAGTAAAATAGCGATCCAGCTTTTACTTTTTCTCCCCACAAATGAAATTGTCTCAACATTATTTCTTGAATAGCTCATCTTATCCCCATAGATTTTGCAGTATCAACTTTATCATTCTCAGAAATCCCATATGCATCTGGGCCTCTGTTGGGACCATGCCACTCCACGGTAAAAACTCTAATGTAAATTATTTCCATAGAAAAAGGGCAAGGTGAAGTTCAGTGTATAGAACTCATCTGTTCAACTACTGTTCAATGAAAAACTTTTTGCAGTGGCTCTTGAAAAGCTATACTACTTTTTGGAAAACACTCTTTTTTTAATGATGTTAGTAATAATGACTTTTTCATCCCTAAATACACCACATAAACATGCTATAAGGAATGATGTTCTGACATCACACTTTCAGGCAAAAACATACTAATTTTCTTAATAAAACTGTTCCTAGCCCAATAATATCATAGGAAACAAATGTGCACTGCTTGCCTTGTTTGGATAAATCCCAAATGCTTTGTTTTTGCATATACATGGCGATTGAAAGGGCTGGAGAGGTAGTAGCTTCTGTGATTCTGCAGTGTGTTAAATGCATAAGCTATTCCATGTATTTTGAAGTGCGTTCAGGTTTAGTGTTTATTTTACCCTCAGTGTATTTTTCTGTGCTATAACTTTATTTTTAAAGGTAGTTTGAATGCAAGATAACCATGAGTACCCAAAAGACTGAAGAAATGGTGCAGAAGGAAAAATGTACCTTTCTCAATGACTCCCTCACAAATATTCTCCACTACTCATCATTAAGTCTTCATTTCCTCTTTTAATGAGGACAATTAACCTTTATTGCAATAAGTTGTATATGTAAATTGTATCTTTATATTCAAATTATTTTTTT